GGGATAGGGTCTCACTGTATTGCCCAGCGTGGTCTCAAATTCCTGGGCTCAAGTGATCTTCCCCCTTTAGCCTTTCAAAGTGTTGGGATTACTGGCATGAGCCACCAAGACCTGTAATTGTCTGATTTTAAATTGATGATTAAGAATCTCAATGCCAGGACCCTCAGTAATGCCTGACAACTCATACTGTATTTCCTTAGCTCATTCACTCTTCTGTTTCCTATTTGAACAGTGTCACATGTTCATCTTTCCTCTCCCATAGTCATTCTCAGCTGATAATGTTATGCTCTGCTTTGAAACTGAAGCAAAAGAGAACTTCAGATTCTGATCACCATATCTGCCCACCCACCAGTGTTCTCTGCCTTCTCTCCTACTACCCTAACCTAGAGGAGCTCTCTATGGTACTAAGGCCTAAGGCAATGTCTCCACTTTGCAGAAGTCCCATCCCCTTTTTCCCAACTCAATGACGGCCCTCTTCCCCTTCTCTTCTATAACATCACATATATACATTCCTCTCCACTGGTTCATTTCCCCACGATATAAACATACTATATTTCTTTTTTCTTGTCTTTCTTTTTTTTTTTTTTTTAGAAAGAAAGAAAAAAAGGAGTGAAGGAGAGGAAAAAAGAGGGAGAGAAAAAGGGAATGTAGCTTTATTCTAAAAATAGGTATTAATAATGGCCGATCAATATTTTGTGTATTTAAGGTGGAGAATGTATATTTTGTGTATTTAAAATGGAGAGCTCTGTAAATATTTATTGAGTTTACTTGTTCCGGATCTGATTTCAAGTCCTGGATGTCCTTATTAATTTTCTGTCTCGTTGAGTCTAAATCTCTTTATGAGTCTTATGTATCTGGGTGTTAGGATCGTTAGCTCTTATTGTTGCATTGATCCTTTTACCACTGTATCTTTGTTGCTTTGAAATCTATTTTATCAGATGCAAGAATCGCAACTCCTGCTATTTATTTATTTTTGCTCTCCATTTGGTTGGTAAATCTTTCTCCATCCCTTTGTTTTAAATCTTCATGTATCTTTGGATGTGAAATAGGTCTGGATGTAGCATATCATTAGGTTTTGGCTGTATCTTTTGATTGGGGGATTTAGTCGACTTAAATTTAGGGTTACTGCTTTTTGATGTTAACTGGTTATTTTATCCATTCATTGACGTAAATTCTTCTTTATGTTGATACTCTTTACTTTTTGGTATATTTTTAGAAAGGCTAATACTGGTTGTTCCTTTCTATATATAATGCTTCTTTCAGAAGCTCTTGTAAAGCTGGCCTGGTGGTAATAAAATCTCTGAGTACTTGCTTGTTCATAAAAGATTTTATTTTTCCTTCAGTTGTAAAGCTTAGTTTGGCAGAATATGAAATTCTGGGATGAAAGTTCTGTTCTTTAAGGATGTTGAATATCGGCTCCCACTCTCTTCTGGCTTGTAGAGTTTCTGCTGAGAGATCTGCTGTAAGTCTAATAGGCTTACCTTTGTGGGTAACCTGACCTTTCTCTCTGGCTGCCCTTAGTATTTTCTCCTTCATTTCAACCCTGGTGAATCTAACGATTATGTGCCTTGGGGTTGCTCTTCTTGAGGAAGAGCTTTGTGGTGTTCTCTGTATTACCTGGGGTTGAATATTGTGCTGCTTTGCTAGATTCGAAAAGTTTTCCTTGAATAATATCCTGAAGAGTATTTTCCAGCTTGGATTCATTCTCTTCGTCGTATTCAGGTACACCTATCAAACGTAAATTGGGTCTTTTCACATAGTCCTATATTTCTTGGAGACTTTGCTCATTCCTTTTTATCCTTTTTTCTCTACTCTTGTCTTCTCATTTTATATAATTAAGTAGGTCTTCGACCTCTAATATCCTTTCTTCTGCTTGATTAATTCAGCTATTCAAACTCGTACATATTTCGCTAAGTTTTTGTGTTGTGTTTTTCAACTCCATTAGTTCATTTATATTCCTCTCTATATTGTCTATTCTTGTTAGCATTTCGTCAAACCTTTTTTCAAAGTTCTTAGTTTCTTTACATTGGGTTAGAACAAGTTATTTTAGCTCCCAGAAGTTTCTTATCATCCACTTTCTGAAGCCTACTTCTGATAATGGCACACCGTCCTTTTTCATCAGGGCTTGTTCCGTTGCTGATGAGGACCTGTAATCCCCTGTAGAGGGAGAGGGGTTCTGATTTTGGGTATTCTCAGCCTTTTTAGGCTGGTTTCTTCCTTTTGTTATAAATTTATCTATCTGTCGTCTTTACAATCACCGCCTTTCTAGTTGGGTTTCTGAGTGGATGCCCAGTTTATTGATTCCCAGCGCTGGAATCCAAGCAACCCACTGAGCCAGCCAAAACAGCAGCGATAAGACTGATGGTGCTCTTCTGCCCGGGAATCTCCTCCCGTTTACTCTGCACAAAGAGCTGCCACCGAGGTGCTGGCAAAACTGCTGTGCCGGCCACAAGAGTCGTGCTGGCAACTCGTGGGGCCCCTCCACTGGGAATCTTCTGGTCCATGAGCGACAAAAATTCGTCTGAAAGTGTGGCGTCCTCTCATTCTCTGCGCTTTCACTGGGACCTACAATCCTGAACTGTTAGCGATCAACCATCTTGGATCTCTCTCCTCTTTTTTCTTTTCTTTTTTTTTGGGGGGGGGACAGAGTCTTACTCTGTCACCCAGGTTAGAGTGCAGTGGTACAGTCATAGCTTACTGAAGCCTTGAACTCCTGGGCTCAAATGGTCTTCCCACCTCAGCCTCCTGAGTAGCTGGGACTACAGGTGCACACCACCATGCCTGGCTACTTCCTATATTTTTTGTAGGGATGAGGTCTTGCTATGTTGCCCTGGCTAGTCTCAAAGGGATCCACCTACCTCCCCCTCCCAAAGTGCTGAGGAGACCACAGCTGGCCCACTGTTATTTATTTCTCTCATCCTCAAAAATATTCCTCTTGATCCCACATCTTCTTCCAACTATTGCTCTGCTGTTTTGTTCTGTTTTACAACAAAACTTTTTTCTTTGAGATAGAGTCTTGCTCTGTTGCCCAGGCTGGAGTGCGGTAGCACAATCTCGGCTCACTGCAGCCTCCGCCTCCCAGGTTCAAGCAATTCTCCTGCTTCAGCCTCCTAAGTAGCTGGGATTACAGATGCACACCACCATGCTTGGCTAATTTTTTGTATTTTTATTTGAGACAAGGTTTCACCATGTTAGCCAGTATGGTCTCGATCTCCTGACCTCATGATCAGCCCACCTCAGCCTCCCAAGGTTCTGGGATTACAGGCATGAGCCAGCATGCCTGGCCAAAAAAAGAAAAAGCAACTCTTCAAAAGAACTCTATATACTCACTTCTCCAATCCCTCCCCCATTCTCTCTCAAATCCACTCCAATCAGAATAAGGACACATATGACAAATTGTTTTAAGCCTTTCGGTTTTAGAGTTGTTTGTTAGGAAGGGATAGATAACTGGAACAATATGCCACAGAGAGTAGTACAGGTCTTCTCTAGGAGGAGAAAGAACCTACATACAGAGACTTGGGCCAGGTGTGATGGCTTATGCCTGTAATCCCAGTACTTTGGGAGGCTGAGGCAGGAAGATCACTTGAGCCCAGGAGTTGAAGACCAGCTTGGGCAACAAAGATCCCACCTCTACAAAAAAAAAAAAAAAAATTTTTTTTAACAGTTCTTCCATCTCAGCCTTCCAAGTAGTTGGGACCACAAGTACATGCCACTACACTCAAATTTGTTTTTTGGCTCTTTTGTTTTTGTAGAGATTAGGTCTTGTTATGTTGTCTAGGCTGATCTCAACTCCTGGGCTCAAGTGATTCTCCTGCCTTGGCTTACCAAAGGTTTGGGATTATAGGTGTGAGCCACAATGCCTGGCCTACAAAAATTTTAAAAAATTGTTAGCCATGCACAGTGCTGTACACCTGTAGTCCCAGCTATGTGGGAGGCTGCAGAAGGATCATCTGAGTGAGGACGTTTAGATTTCAGTGAGCCATGATCGTGTCACTGCACTCCAGCCTGGGTGACAGAGTGAGATGGTCTTAAAAAAAAACAAATTGGAAAGAAAAGAGAGAGAGAGAGAGAGAGAGAGAGAGAGAGAGAGAGAGCTTAATGACTTTGTCAGATATCAGAAGAAGACTGGAGAAGAGCTTAGAGTATAAATTATAAAGGTGTTAAACCAATAAGGATAAAGTATTATATTCAAGCCAAATTCATTGACCTGGGTGAACTCCCCCAGGATTTAGAATATAGCTTGTTGGCCGGAGTACTGGGGATGGTCCTAACAGTCTGAAAAGGTTAGCTAGTGAGAGCCTGGACTCAGTGATAGTCTGGAGTTAATGAGGTTGAAATGCCAGAAATTCCCCAACATACTAGGGAACATATAGACAAAGGGTTACAAAATTCAAGGAAATAGGACTGGGTCCATTACGATCAATCTTCTCAGCCATCTACTAACTTGACGCTGCAGGGAAGGTTCCAAAAACTCTCCTTTCACTAAGACATAAGGAAATGCACTAGCCAGTCAGGGACCACCATCCTCGAGGAGCACTGTGGGTCAGAGGTGTTGCTGGATGAGGCTGCAGTGAAAATGTGTGCTTTCAGGCGGGGCGCGGTGGCTTACACCTGTAATCCCAGCACTTTGGGAGGCCGAGGCGGGTGGATCACGAGGTCAAGAGATTGAGACCATCCTGGTCAACATGGTGAAACCCCGTCTCTACTAAAAATACAAAAAAATTAGCTGGACATGGTGGCACGTGCCTGTAATCCCAGCTACTCAGGAGGCTGAGGCAGGAGAATTGCCTGAACCCAGGAGGCGGAGGTTGCGGTGAGCCGAGATCGCGCCATTGCACTCCAGCCTGGGTAACAAGAGCGAAACTCCATCTCAAAAAAAAAAAAAAAAGAAAGAAAGAAAGAAGAAAGAAAGAAAGAAAGAAAGAAAGAAAGAAAGAAAGAAAGAAAGAAAGAAAGAAAGAAAGAAAGAAAGAAGAAAGAAAGAAAGAAAGAAGAAGAAAGAAAGAAAATGTGTGCTTTCATTTCAGTGGGAATAATGGAGTCTTGGCATGTCAAACACCAGGCAGCAGCTTCACTGTTAGGGACAACATGGTGCAACTACCACAGTAAGCCATAATGATGGAATAGTAGTCAAACTGCTTTGATCTGCTGTGCCCTCTGGCAAGGGCCAATTGATGATGGGATCCTGAAAAATCATTAATTCACTGCTTCCTAAGATGCCGATTGACATATGGAGGCAGAACAAAATCTAGGTATTAGGCAGAAACCTTACTCGAGTTGCCAAATTGTGCCTTGTACCTAATTCCCAGACCTAAGTCAGTTCAGAGACTCAGCCCCTCTGAGAGGGAAATTTCCCTCTCAGATGGATATCATGACTCTTCCTTCAAGCCAGTGTTTCTCAACCTTGGCCCTACGGACATTTTGGGCAGCGTATTTCTTTGTTATGCAGGCTAGCCTGTGCCTTATGGATCTGAAAATGATGCTGACCATGACAGGAAGAGGATGACTATACTGCAACCCACTTGGGCGTGACTGTAAAAGACTGCTGAAGGGAAATCCTCCCAGAGGACAGAACCTTTGGTGATATATCCCATTGTTTACTTCATGGCTTAAGGCACAAAGATCTCCAATGACTTATGAGCTGTGGCTACTGGACTGGCTGGCTGGTTGGAGACGAAAAAAATAATTGAAAAATTGGTGCTTAGGTGGACTATGCATGGACCTTTTGGAATGGACCCAGAGGGTGGGAATATTTGTGTGCCGCATGTATGTCTAGTAGATGGTATCACGATGGTGGAGGTTCTCAAAAATCAGATAATCATGATAATCTATTTTGTGAATGTCAGTAAGCTTCTTTCTCGAGGTATCCCAGTGCTTGTTTAGTGGCTCCATGTGCAAACTGTGCCAGCACGGAAGGAAGTTACCTGTAAGCTAGTAACATAGTTTTCCCTCACCAAGGCTGCTCCGACTATACCTACTGCTGAATGTCCCATTGACTAACAGCCGAAGTCAACACTAAGCCACCGATAAGGCACTATTGTCCAGGGTGACCAGATGGCCACCTAGTAGTAGCTGCTTGTGTGGACTCTTCCCAACATAAAAGGAACATCCCTTTATCCTCTCAGGAATAGCTACATATTCTGGACAAAATTTTGCACTGTGGCTGAGTGCTGTGGTTCACGCCTGTAATCCTAGCACTTTGGGAGGCCAAGGAGGGCAGATCACCTGAGGTCAGGAGTTCAAGACCAGCCTGGCCAACATGGCGAAACCCCCATCTCCACTAAAAATACAAAAATTGACTGGGCGTGGTGGTGGACAACCTGTAATCCCAGCTACTCAGGAAGGTGAAGCAAGAGAATCACTTGAACCCAGGAGGCGGAGGTTGCAGTGAGCCAAGATCATGCCACTGCACTCCAGCCTGAGCAACAGAATGAGACTCCATCTCAAAAAAAAAAAAAAATTGCATTGTATTCCCTGCCTGCAGAGCTTCTACGAATACCACTATTATGAAGTTACAGAATGCCTTATCTGTTGCCTTAGTATTCCATATAATGTTGTCTCTGATCATAGGCATATATTATGGCAAAAGAAGTCTCATGTTCTCAAAATTCAGTATATACCTAGATCTTGCAGAAGCAGCTGGCTTGATAGAACAGTGAATTGGCCTGCCTAACGCTCAATTATAGTGTAAGTGGGGAAACCCTGCAAGGTTGAAATGTTGTCCTACAGGAAGGGGTAGATGCAGTAAACCAGCAGTCAATATTTGCAGATACCAGCAACACACGGAGGGCAGGTGTGGTGGCTCATGTCTGTAATCTCAGCACTTTGTGAGGCTGAGGCAAGTGGATCACTTGAAGTGAGGAGTTTGAGACCAGCCTAGCCAACGTGGTGAAACTCAATCTCTACCAAAACACACAAAAATTAGCTGGGTGTGGTGGTCTGTGCCTATAGTCCCAGGTAATCGGAAGTCTGAGGTGGGAGAATTGCTTCAACCCAGTAGGTGGAGATTGCAGTGAGCCGAGATCATGCCACTGCACTCCAGCCTGCGTGACAGAGCAAGATCCTGCCCCTCCCCTCCATGAAGAATGCATGGATGCATGGAGCTAAGCATGGTGGCTGATGCCTGTAATCCCAGCACTTTGGAAGGTTGAGGCAGCAGGGTCTCTTGAAGCCAGGAGTTCAAAACCAATCTGGGCAACATAGATCCAGTTTCTAAAAATAAAATAAAATATTAGCAGTGCATGTGTAGTCCCAACTTCTTAGGAGACTGAGGTGGGAGGATTAAGTCCAGGTGTTTGAGCTGCAGTGAGCTATGATCATGCCACTGCACTCCAGACTGGGTGACAGAATAAGACCATGTTTCTAAAAATTAAAAAAAACCTTGAAGTTAAATGTTCAGCTTGATTTTTACTTTTGAGCATTGTACAATTCCCACAGAGTACATTTACTAATACAACTGCCAGGTGGAGCCCCTTCTTTTTTCTCAGTAAACTGTTCTCTCCCAAGTAGCTGGGACTACAGAGCAATGCCAATATGCCCAGTTAATTTTATTGTTTTGTTTGTTTGCTTGCTTTTGAGACAGAGTCTCCCTCTATCATCCAGGCTGGAGTGCAGCAGTGCGATCTCACTGCAACCTCCACCTCCTGGGTTTAAGCAATTCTCCACCTCAGCCTCCTGAATAGCTGGGATTACAGGAATGCACCACCACGCCCAGCTAATTTTTTGTATTTTTAGTAGAGATGGGGTTTTACCATCTTGGCCAGGCTGGTCTTGAACTCCTGACCTCATGATCCATCTGCCTTGGCCTCCCAAAGAGCTGGAATTACAGGCTTGAGCCACCGTGCCTGGCCTAATTTTGTATTTTTAGTAGAGACGGGTTTTCTCCATGTTGGTCAGACCAGTCTTGAATTCCCGACCTCAGGTGATCCACCTACCTTGGCCTCCCAAAGTGCTGGGATTACAGGCTCAAATCATTTTTAAGTGTACTGTTTTATGGCATTAAGTATATTCATTGCTTTGTAACCATCACTACCATCCTCTCCAGAACCTCTTTCATCTTCCAAACTGAAACTTCATGCCCATTAAACAATAACTCTTCACCCTCTTCCCAGTGGCAACCATTCTACTTTCTGTCCCTATGAATCTGATTACCCTCAGTACCTAATATAAGTGGAATTGAACAGTATTTGTCCTTATTTCTCTTAGCATAATGTCTTCAAGATCCATTCATGTTACAGTCAGAATTTTCTTCTTTTGAGGCTGATTTTCCTTTCTCTGTGTATACCACGTTTTGTCATTCACTCAACAGTTGATGAACATTAGGGTTGCTTCCACTTTTGGCTGTTGTAAATAACACTGTCATGTATATGGGTGTATAAATATCTGTCTGAGCTCCTGCCTTCAGTTCTTTTGGGTGTATACCCAGAAGTAGAATCATGGAATTGTATGGTAATTCTGTCTTTAGTTTTTTGAGGAACCACCATACTGTTCGCCACAGTAGCTGCACCATTTTATATTATACCAACAGTGCACAAGAGTTCCAGTTTCTCCACATTCTTGACAACAATTATTATTTTCTATTTGTTTGTGTATTTCTTTCTTTTTAAAAAAATATCTAAAATGTGTTTGTTGGGATAGTTTCCCACTCATCTTGATTCAGGGTGCTTTTAGTGCTGCTTCCTCCTGAAGAAGAAGCATCCTTCTGTCAGCCTTGGTTTTCCTCCTGTAGGCTGTCAGAGAATGGTAGAGGAGTGATATGGTTTGGCTATGTCCCTATCCAAATCTCACCTTGAATTGTAGTTCCCATAATCCCCATGTGTTACAGGAGGGACCTTGTTGGAGGTAATTGAATCATGGAGGTGGTTACCCTCATGCTGTTCTTGTGATAGTACTCATTAGATCTGATGGTTTTATAAGGGGCTTTCTCACCCATCTTTGCTTGGCACTGCTCCTTCCTTATACCATGTGAAGAAGGACATGTTAGCTTCCCCTTCCACCATGACTGTAAATTTCTTGAGGCCTCTCTAGCCCTGTGGAACTGTGAGTCAATTAGACCTCTTCTCTTTATAAATTTCCCAGTCTCTGGCTGGGAACTGTGGCTCACGCCTGTAATTTCAGCACTTTGGGAGGCCAAGGTGAGTGGATCACTTGAGGTCAGGAGTTCAAGATCAGCTTGGCCAACATGGTAAAACTCCATCTCTACTAATAGTACAATAATTAGCCAGGTGTGGTGGTGCACACCTGTAATCCCAGCTACTAGGGAGGCTGAGGCACAAGAATCACTTGAACCTGGGAGGCAGAGGTTGCCGTGAGCTGAGATTGTGCCACTGCATTCCAGCCTGGACAACAGAGTGAAACTGTGTCTCAAAATGAATTCATGAATGAATGAATTAATTAAATATAATAAAAATAAATTACCCAGTCTCAGGTATTTTTTCACAGCAGCATGAGAATGGATTAATACAATAAATTGATACCACAGAGAGGGGGTTGCTGCTGTAAAGATACCCAAAAATGTGGAAATGACTTTGGAACTGGGTTTCAGGCAGAGACTGGAACAGTTTGGAGGGCTCAGAAGAGGACAGGAAGATGTGGGAAAGTTTGGAACTTCCTAGAGACTTGTTATAAGTATTTGACCCAAATGCTGATGGTGATAAGGACAATAAAGTCCAGGCTGAAGTGATCTCAGATGAAGATGATGAACTGGTTGGGAACTGGAGTAAAAGTCACTCTTGCTATGCAACAAGACTTGAGAGAGATGATTTAGGGTATCTGGTGGAAGAAATGTCTAAGCAGCAAAACATTCAAGAGGAAACAGAGCATAAAAGTTTGAAAAATTTGCAGCCTGATGATGCAATAGAAAAGAAAACCCTATTTGCTGGGGAGAAATTCAAGCACACTGAAGAAATTTGCATAAGTAACAAGGAACTGAATGTTAATCACCAAGATAATGGAGAAAATATCTCCAGGACATGTTAGAAACCTTCACAGCAGCCCCTCCCATCACAGGCCCTGAGGCCTAGGAGGCAAAAATGGTTTCCTTGGCTGGGTCCAGGGACCTCTTGCTGTGTGCAGCCTTGGGACTTGGTGCCTTACGTCCCAGCCACTCCATCCATGGCTACAAGGGGCAAATGGCTCGGGCCATTGCTTCAAGGGGTGTAAGCCCCAAGCCTTGGAAGCATCCATATGGTGTTGGGCCTGCAGATGTGCAGAAGTCAAGAATTGAAGTTTGGGAACCTCTGCCTACATTTCAAAGGATGTATGGAAATGCCTGGATGTCCAGATAGAAGTCTGATTCAGGGGCAGAGGCTTCATGGAGAACCTCTGCTAGGGCAATGATATGGTTTGGCTGTGTCCTCACCCAAATTTTGTCTTGAATACCCACGTATTGTAGGACAGACCTGGTGAGAGGTAATTGAACCATGGGGCACTGTTCTTGTGATAGTGAATGAGTCTCACAAGATCTGAGGGGTTAAAAATAGAAGTTTCTCTGAACAAGCAATGTCTCTCTTTGCCTGCCACCATCCATGTAAGATGTGACTTGCTCCTCCTTGCCTTCTGCCATGATTGTGAAGCTTCCACAGCCACATGGAACTGTGAGTTCACCATTGAACCTCTTTCCTTTGTAAATTGCCCAGTCTTAGATATGTCTTTATCAGCATTGTGAAAATGGACTAATACAGGCAGTGTGGAAGAGATATGTGGGGTTGGAGCCCCAACACTGAGTCCCCAGTGGGGCACTGCCTAGTGGAGTTATGAGAAGAGGTCCACCATCCTCTAGACCCCATAATGGTAGATCCACCGACAGCTTGCCCCATGCGCCTGGAAAAGCCATAGACACTAAACACCAGCCATGAAAGCAGCTGGGAGGGTGGCTGTACCTAGCAAAGCCACAGTAAAAGAGCTGCCCAGGGCCATGGGAATCTACCTCTTCCATCAGGGTGACTTGGATGTGAGACATGAAGTCAAAGGAGATCATCTTGGAACTTTAAGGTTTAATGACTGCCTTGTCGGATTTCATGCATGCATGGGGCCTGTAGCCCCTTTGTTTTGATCAAGTTGTCCCATTTGGAATGGGTGTATTTGTCCAATGTCTATACCCCCATTGAATATAGGAAGTAACTAATTTGCTTTTGATTTTACAGGCTCATAAGCAGAAGGGTCTTGCCTTGCCTCAGATAAGACTTTGGAGTTGGACTTTTGGGTTAATGCTGGAATAAGTTAAGACTCTGAAGGACAGTTGGAAGGGCATGATTATGTTTTGAAATGTGAGGATATGAGATTTGGGAGGGGTCAGGAGAGGAATCATGTGGTTTGGCTGTGTCCTCACCAAAATCTCATCCTGAATTGCAGTTCCCATAATCCCCATATGTCATGGGAGGAACCAAGTGGGAGGCAATTGAATCACGAGGGCAGTCACATCCATGCTGTTCTCATGATGGTGAGTTCTCACAAGATCTGATGGTTTTATAAGGGCCTTCCCCCCCTCACTCGGCACTTCTTGCTGCTGCCATGTGAAGAATGATGTGTTTGCTTCTCCTTCTGCCACAACTGAAAGCTTCCTGAGGCCTCCCAAGCCCTGCAGAACTATGAGTCTATTAAACCTCCTTTATAAATTACCCAGTCTCAGGTGTTTCTCATTGAGAACAGACTAATACAAGCACACCACTACTGTGTGTGCATAGCTAATGAGCATGGTGATTATAGCATACAGGGCATTTCACATCCCTGAAGTAGCAACTGGGGCTCTGTACCAGGCACCTCTTCTTGTATTTCCTCTTTTCCTCATCTGGAGAGGGATAAAGGAGATTTTTGCAAGAGCTATGTTCACATGGGGAGGTCAGAACCACCAGAAAGACTTTTTTTTTTTTTTTTTTCAAATAATGGCCATTCTAATCGGGGCAAAGTGGTATCTCATCATGCTTTTGATTTGCTTTTCCCTAGTGACTAGTGATGGTGAGCATCTTTTCATGTACTTATTAGCCATTTATATATTTCTTTAAAGAAATGTCTATTCAAGTCCTTTGCCTACTTTTTAATCATTTTTTTGTTGTTAAGCTGTAGGAATTCTTTATATATTCTGGACATTAACCCATTATCAAATATAAAATTTTCTCCCATTCTGTGGGTTGTCTTTTAACTCTCTTGAAAGTGTCTAGACTGGGCACAGTGGCTCACACCTGTAATCCTAGCACTTTGGGAGGCCAAGGCAGGTAGATCACTTGAGCCTATGTGTTCGAGACCAGCCAGGGCAATATAGCAAAACCCCCTCCCTTCTAAAAAGTACAAAAAATTATCTGGGCATGGCGGTGGGTGCCCATAGTTCCAGCTACTCGGGAGGCTGAGGTAAGAGGATCACCTGAGCTTGGGAAGTCCAGGCTGCAGTGAGGTGAGATGGTGCCACTGCATTCCAGCCTGGGCAATGGGAGTAAGACCCTGTCTTGAAAAAAAGAAGATAAAAAAGTAAAAAGTATGCTCCTTTTTTGTTTGTTTTTTTGAAATAGGGTCTTGCTTTGTTGCCCAGGCTGGAATGCAAGTGGCATGATCATGACTCACTGCAACCTCGACTTCCTGAGCTCAAGAAATCCTCCTGCTTCAGCCTCTGGAATAGCTGGGACTATAGGTATGCACCACCACACTGGGTCCAAAGTGTCCTCCTTTGGTGCATAAAAGTTTTTTATTTTCTTTTTTAAATTTTGATGAAATTCAATTTATCTAGTTTTTGTTTTGTTGCCTGTGCTTTTATCATATCCAAGAAATCACTGCCACAGCCAATGTCATGAAGCTTTCCCCTATGTTATCTTCTAAGAGTTTTACAGTTTTAGCTCTTTGTGTCTTTGGTAAAGTTTGTATAGGGTGTAAGGTAAGGGTCCAATGTTATTCTTTTGCATGTGGCTATCCAGTTTCCCTGGCACCATTTATTAAAAAGACTGTCCTTTCCCCATTGAATGGTCTTGACACCTTTGTCAAAAACATATATGTGAGGGTTTATTTCAGGGCTTTCTACTATATTCCATTGATCTGAGTGTCTGTCTTTATGTCAGGACCACACTGTTTTGATTACTGTAATTTTGTTGAGGATAGAGTTTTAAATCAGAAGTCCCAGCAAGTTCAAAGGATTCTAGCAGGAGTTGGCAAACTTTTTTTGGTAAAGGGCCAGATAGTGAATATTTTGGGCTTCACAGGCTATATTGTATGGGCTGTGTCACACCTTCTCTACTCTGCTGTTGTACCACTAAAGCAGCTGTCAACAATGCATAAACAAGTGGGTATGGCTGTGTTTCAATAAAGCTTACACATAAAAACAGTTGGCAGGAAGGATTTGTCACAAAGGCAGTAGTTTGCCAACCCCTACACTAGAAGTCACAGTTTGGCATTTCCAAAGGCTTAGTGGAAGGCAATGTGCTATGAACAGTGGGAAGAATGAAGCATGATGAGGTTGGAGAGGGGCAGGGGCCAGATTACAGAGTGTTGGAGACCACAGCAGAATTTCATCTATTCTTTACCCATTTATTCACCAAACAGCTATCTAGGACCTACTATGAGCCATGGCTGGGGCTCCACAGGAGGTAGACTCTATCTTAGTTCTCACAGGGCTTCAATGTAGATAGGAAGCATAAGCTAAGTGTTTTAACATGGTATCATATTTCCCTTCTGAATCATGACAGGCTCCTGATGGGATCTCTGCTCAGTGCTTTACCCTACTGCTTTAGTGTATTAGTCCGTTCTCACACTGCTTCTAAAGACATACCCGAGACTGGGCAATTTATAAAGGAAAAGAGGTTTAATGGACTCACAGTTCCACATGGCTGGGGAATCCACATGTCTTTCTCAATCATGGCGAAAGGAAAAAGGCACATCTTACATGGTGACAGGGAAGAGAGAAAAAAAGAGCCAAGTGAAAGGGGTGTGGGCGGGGACACAGGCAAACAATATCACTTAGTTTAAGTCTTACTATTTTTCTCTAGGATTATTGCAATAGTCTATTCAAACAGGTTTCTGCCTCTAGCCTCACCTGCTTCCTACCTGGCATCTATGCTACAGCAAGAGACATTTCTAAAATGCAATTCTGATTGCACTCCTCAGCTTGGAGCTGTGTTTATGGCTTTTCATCACTGTCAGAGTCAAGTCTAATCTGCCAGAATGATGTGGAAAGCCCCACATAACCAGACTAGCTGACAGCCCAAAACAACTAGTCCCTCACACGCACACACACAAGAACATGTTTGATCATGATTAAACCTGGAGAAACACCGACATCAAAGAAGAACATTTGAGATCTGTGTGAGTTCTTGTTGTTGGTCTTTCTATTGTAAAGCATAATTATTGAGCAAAACTTAGTGATAATCATAGCAAACTCACATAGAGATACTATGTCCTACATGCTAACTCATTTAATCCTCACAACTACTCTATGGAGTAGGTAGTATTACTATTCCCATTTTACAAATTAGGCAACTGAGGCATAGGAAGACTAACTTTCCCCGGGATCTCATAGCTTGCACATGTGATAGCATTAATATTCCAACCCAGGAATTCTGGCATGACAATCTGTTATTAAGCACACTAACATGCTCCTTTTAGCAGCATATATATTAAAATTAGAATGATACAGGGAAGATTAGCTTGGCCTCTGTGCAAGGGCGATATGCAAGTTCATGGAGCATTTCACATTTGAAAAGAGAAACCACTGCTCAAGCCTGCAATCCCAGGACTTCAGGAGATTGAGCTGGGACAATCATTTGAGCCCAGGAGTTTGAGACCAGCTTGGGCAAAATAGCAAGACCCAGCCTCTACAAAAAAATTTAAAAATTCGCTCTGTGTGGTGGCATGTGCCTGTGGTCCCCGCTACTCCAGAGGTTGATGTGGAAGCCTTGAGGTAGAGGCTGCAGTGAGCCGTGTTCACACCACTGTTGCCCAGCCTGGGCAACAGAGCAAGACCCTGTCTCAAAAAAAAATTTAAATAAAAATAAATAAATAATACACATATGCAAAAATACACTAAGCCCCCCTCACTTAACCATAAATGTATTCTTTTAAAATATTGACTAAAGTTGTGACTTTTGCTTGATAGTGTGATCTCTGAGTGGTAGCACCAGAATCACCTGGGAGCTTATTAGAATGCCAGTTCCCATGCCTGGGGACTGACCCAGGGAAGCAGAATCTCTGGAGTTGGAGCCCGGGGATTTGAGTTTCAGCATGCTCCCCAGGTGACTTCTAAGCCTGAGAAAGTTTGAGAAATGCTACTCTTAAACATTTGTTTCCTGAGGAGTAAAGGCCTTAATGGAGATAAAGCTTAAGGCAAACACATGAGTAATTTTAACCAAAAAAAAAAGTAGAAATAGGATTATTTTTAATGCAAAGATTTCAAACTATGAAAGGAAACAAATGCTTGCACAGAACAAGAGGTCATCAGAGGTCTTGAGAAGATGTTGAGGCCAGAAAAGCACAGGATACACCTGAATTCGGAGCAAACCAGTATAAGTTTGAATTCCAGCACACCCACAGACCAGCTGTGCACCTTTGACAAATTGCTTCACTGGATCCTTTGTTTCTCCATTCAGAGCTTGAAGTAACATTCTCCTTGACCCATATACTCCAGGAAGGTTGCGAAAAATCAAGGGGGATCATGTATGGGACAGTGCTTTGTACAGCTGGATAGTGTGGTAATCAGGTTTCATTTCTGCTGTAATACTTCACAAAATGATATATGCACTTTCCCTTCTCCTGTTCAGGAAGCAGATGGGATTTTGAGTCTTGTAGTTCCCTAGGGAACTCTGTTTTCTATAGTATCAGCTGCAGGAGTAGACAGCTAGACTGAAGGATTACTCCAGGCTTGAAAAGAGAGAGAAATGGCCTCATCCAAGAGCATGGGGCCAGAGAGTTGGCAGATGATGGTAGAAACCAGACTATATGTCTTTAAACTCATCTTCAGCCTTACAATTTCTACCCTCAAAAAGTTTAATTCAGACCTGGGATAGCTTAGGCTGATATTCAGCCCCATACAAGCTTACGGCATACCCTCCGACTGCTGTTGGATGGGCTGAGTATGTTAGCTTGTATTCTGATCAGTCGGTGCTCACGCTACAAGGGTTATGGTTTTTCACAACACCTCTAGTGATAGACCATAATAGAAGGGAATGTTATCTGAAACTTAGTTCAAACAGAAGAGATATCCATCTGTCTGGCAATGGTTCCACGGACTCATGCCAGGCTTCACCCAGGCCTGCACACTCGTCTGACCACTACTTGCATAGCCCTTCCTTGATTTAGTGACAAACGGCTTCAGCATGTTCACTAGAACAACAAAATTGGCTGGACACGGTGGCTCACACCTATAATCCCAGCACTTTGGGAGGCTGAGACCGGAGGATCGCATGAGCCCAGGAATTCAAAACCAGCTTGGGGAACATAATGAGATTCCTATTTCTATTAAAAAAAAAAAAAAAGAGAACAACACAATTTACAACTTACCTACTCTGTCTCCAACACATCTTTCCAACTAAGAAAAATACAAGCTACTACTCTAGGAGAACTCCCACGCATGTGTGGGGCAGACTATTTCCAGGCTAGGGTTTTTTTTATTCATTTTGTGAAGCTGTGTCTCCTGTCAACTCCTGGCTACCATTGTTTTTTTTCTCCCATTGCTATTTCTCCCCCACCAACTGGGGACATAATAGGTATATTTCCTTTCTATTCTCTTTTTTCCTCTTGGCTTATTTCTTCTAGGTTAAAGGCAACTTTCAGATAAATGTATATTGTTTAGGACAGAGAACATACCGAATTTAAAGAACACTACCAGGCTTCTTACAGGAGGCTAAAATATATTCTATTCCCTAAGCAAACTGATTTTCAACAATGTAATAGATTCATATACCTTATAACCTTCAATTCTGAATGGTAGGAGGAAGAAATCAGCTCTTTTTCTAGCATGCATTATTATTATCATTATTACTTTTGGAGAAGGAGTTTCGCTCTTGTCGCCCAGGCTGGAGTGCAATGGTGCGATCGTGGCTCACTGCAAACTCTGCCTCCCAGGTTCAAGCAATTCTCCTGCCTCAGCCTCCCCAGTAGCTGGGATTACATGCATGCCACCACGCCCAGCTAAGTTTTATATTTTTAGTAGAGCCAAGCTTTCACCATGTTGGCTAGACTTGTCTTGAATTCCTGACCTCAGGTGATCCACCCACCTCGACCTCCCAAAGTGCTGGGGTTACAAGCGTGAGCCACTGCACCCAGCCATATTTTTAATTAAAGCTGAAATGTTCAAAGTGACCACCAGCCACACCAGGGGAGGCGTTATGTAGACAGTTATCCAAAAATTACAAAATGATTTCTGGCTCTGCTCCAAGTGACCTATATAATCTAAGGAGAAGCCAAACATCCTCTTTCACTTGGGGGTAAACTGGCCTACCACACCTATGATCTGCTTAACAGAAACCCCAAAACAGAGATAGCCATCAAGGTAGGTACAACCAGGGAAGGGATGTTGTCTGTCTTCTCAGGTGCTCAACATAAATCATGTGTTCAGCCAAATACCTTCATCCTGCCTACAATGCTCAACCCCCCCAGAAAAGCAAAAAACCTACAAAGTTGGAGCCCTTTATACTCAAAGTGTGGTCCACAGAGGTCAGTTGAGGCATGCAGAATCAGAGGCCCACCCAGGCCCCCAGAGTTCTGCAGAGCCTGTGTTTTAGCAAGATCTCCAGGTGATTCCTATACATGTTAATGTATGAAAAGTACTGATTTAAGTGACACATCTGTTAAAACACATATCAAAAAAGAAACAAGATTTTCTACTAGGTATGAAGATTGGAAAAAACGAGACAACTCACCTCAATTATGATGTATGATGCTGAAAGCAAAGCAGTCCAAATCTCAGTGCAGAAAAAGTGGTAATACAGAGATTTCTACACTTAAGAGTTTTCCTAGAGAGACTTCATCCAAGGCCCACGCCTAATAAACAGACGGATATTAGTCCAGAAACTTTCCTTCCTGCCTGCCTGCTATCAGGGCAGGAGAAAGAATCAGAGAGGAAACTTGGCAGCCCCCAAAGTAGATCCTGCAGCTGCTAGAGAGCATTGAGGCTTTCCGGGTCAACTAGCCTTGAGGAAATGTCCAGAGTGAAATTAACAGCTCTACTAACTCCTTGAGTTCCTTTTTTCTCTGCTGCTCACTGATTATTAACCACATTTTTTTCCCGATCACTGGGATTCAGACGACCTAATGCTTCCAGTCAGCATGGGATCCTCTTCTGGCATTCCCAGCAAGGGGATAGAAGGAGGGGGAAAGTCCCATGTCAGAGAGATATTTTTATATCTTTGTCTTTATGCCACAGAATTCTGATGACAGCATCTCCAACACAAACAGCAACTTTATTTTCAAAACGGAAGTATCAAAACCAATTCTAGCAAATGGCTTTGCTCTGTGTGTAAACTTCCTGTGCTCTGTTAACCCTGATGTAACTGAGGGTCTCCTCTCACAGGCCCTGCCTTCTAGCACACATAAAGAAACAACCAAGCAGGACTATGACACATATTTAAAAAGGAGACGAATTAAACCAAAACAAAGGCAGAGTAAGATTTCAGTGCAAAGGCCCAGCAGAGTTTTAAAGAGGACCCAGAAGGCCATATAAAATTGATCTCTCTCTCTCTCTCTCTCTCTCTCTCTCTGTGTGTGTGTGTGTGTGTGTGTGTGTGTGTATTTTAAATAGAGACAGGATCTTGTTATGTTGGCCAGGGTGGTCTCAAACTCGTGGCCTCAAGCAATCCTCCCACTTCAGCCTCCCAAAGTGCTGGGATCACAGGCATGAGCCACCAAACCTGGCTTTTTTTTTTTTTTTTTTTTTTTTCCTGAGACAGGATCTCACTTTGTCACCCACTCTGAAGTTAATAGGCATTTTATATTCCAAAAACATGATAGATGTCAAAGGAAAAAATATGACTTTACTAAGCACTTCTAATTCCACTGTTTACAGACCCTGAAAAGCTTCTTAATCCAAACCTTCCCCAGGCCACTGCACTACAGCCTGGACAACAGAGTAGGACTCCATCTCAAAAAACAGATATAATTTCAAACACACACTTGGAAATTCACATTTTAACAGCAAACTTACATGCAGATAAAGAGAAGTACACTTTTATTCTCCTAAGTTACACAGCAAGCTGAAATGGCGAATATTTTAATATTCATTTTAGATTTATTCTTATTTCTAAGTCTCAGAAAAAAAGGAAAAAGGCGACATAAAACTCAAGCTATGTCTATAGCAGTATCAGTCAATGTTTTCTACAAATAAATTATTCAATTGCTTACTCTATAAGTGATACACACATACTATAATACTATATACAAAACACAAAATAGAATTAGCGATAACAAATGAAAACTTTATACAAAATACTTGATTCCATCAGTATTTAACTTCTGACCAGAAGACTCTTAGCCTGTACATTCTTTTGTGATATTAAGGAATAATCACATTTGTATAGTATTCTTAACTGCAGAAAAATAGGAATGAACAGAGAGGAGGGCTGATGAGACAGTTGAAATACACATTTAAAAATATGTATACAATTTAGTAATGTCATATCATCTGAATTAATATCTCTTGTTTTTGAGATGGAGTTTTGTTCTCGTTGCCCAGGCTGGAGTGCAATGGTGCGATCTCAGCTCACTGCAACCTCCGCCTCCAGCGTTCAAGCAATCCTCCTGCCTCAGCCTCCTAAGTAGCTGGGATTACAGATATGCACCACCATGTGTGACTAATGCATTTTTGTTATTTTTAAATGGATAATTAAATTATTTTTGACTATAGTCACCTTGTTGTGCTAGCAAATACTAGGTCTTAGTTATTCTTTCTAATTATTTTTGTATCCATGAACCATCCCACTTCCCCCACCTCCCCAGTACCTTTCCCAGCCTCTGGTCACTATTCTTCCACTTTCTGTGACTTCAATTGTTTTAATTTTTAGCTCCCACAAATAAGTAAGAACATGCTATGTTTATCTTTCTGTGCTTGGCTTGTTTCACTTAACAAAATTACCTTCAGTTCCATCTATATTGTTGCAAATGACAGGATCTCATTCTTTTTATATCTGAATAGTACTCCACTATATGTATATGTACCACATTTTCTTTATCCATTTGTCTGTGGATGGATACTTGGGTTGCTTCTATATCTTGGGTATTGAGAATACAGCTGCAACAAATGCAGCAATGCAGATATCTCTTCAATATACTGATTTCTTTTCGATGTATACCTAGGAGTGGGATTGCTGGATCATACGGTAGCTCTATTTTCAGTTTTTTGAGGAACCTCCAAACTGTCCTCCATAGTGGAGGTAGTAATTTATGTTCCCATCCAACAGTGCACGAGGGCTTTCTTTTCTCCGCATCCTCACCAGCATTTGTTATTGCCTGTCTTTTAGATAAAAGCCGATTTAACTGTGGTGAGATGATATCTCATTGTAGTTTTGATTTGCATTTCTCTGATAATCAGTGATGTTGAGCACCTTTTCACATACCTGTTTGCCATTTGTATGTCTTTTTTTTTTTTTGAGACAGAGTTTCACTCTTGTTACCCAGGCTGGAGTGCAATGGTGCGAACTCAGCTCACCGCAACCTCCAACTCCTGGGTTCAGGCAATTCTCCTGCCTCAGCCTCCTGAGTAGCTGGGATTACAGGCATGCACCACCATGCCCAGGTAATTTTTTGTATTTTTAGTAGAGATGGGGTTTCACCATGTTGACCAGGATGGTCTCGATATCTTGACCTAGTAATCCACCTGCCTTGACCTCCCAAAGTGCTGGGATTACAGGCGTGAGCCACCACGCCCGGCCCACCATTTGTATGTCTTCTTTTGAGAAATGTATATTCATATCTTTCACCCATTTTATAATTGGGCTATTAGACATTTTTCCTGTAGAGCTGGTTGAGCTCCTTGTATATTCTGGTTAATAACTCCATGTCAGATGGATAGCATACAAATATTTTCTCCCATTCTGTGGGTCATCTCTTCACTTTGTGAATTGTTTCCTTTACTGTACCAAAAGCTTCTAAATTTGATGTGATCCCATTTGTACATTTTTGATTTGGTTGCCTGTACTTCTGGGGTATTATTCAAGAAATCTTTGCCCAGTACAATGTTCCTAGAGTTTCCTCAAACTTTTCTTTTAGTAGATTCATAGTTTGAGATCTTAGGCTTAAATCTTTAATCCATTTTGATTTGATTTCTGTATATGATAAAAGATAGGGGTCTACTTTCATTCTTTTGCATACAGATATCCAGTTTTCCCAGCACCTTTTTATTGAAGAGACTGTCCTTTCTCCACTGTACGTTCTTGGTACTTTTGTCAAAAATGAGTGCACCACAGATGAATGGATTTGTTTCTGGGTTCTCTATTCTGTTCCACTGGTCTGTCTGTTTTTATGCCAGTACCATGATGTTTTGGTGTGGGAGTTCAGTCAGGGTGGTGGGGAAAATTTTAGAGGAAAAATTATAAAGATAGTTATAGGAAATAGTCACAAACCTTGGAAGGCTGGGGCATTTCATGGCCTCAGTAAAAGATTTGGCTGAAGGCAGCCTAATCCTCTTTACCCTGAGTTGATCTCAGTAAAGCAAATAACAAGGGAATGTGAGAGAGTTTACCTAAGTAACTTGTTTACTCACGTGGTCCTAAAACTAACCTTTAATTCATGGGCAGCATGGCTTTTCTTGGGGAGGGTGACCAGGTTAATTGCCATCTAGTGCTGTTGACTTAAAGTCTTTGTCATTGAATGTGTGCTAAATAAATGCCAGGAGGGCCAGCGAATCAGGGCCATTATGGCTGCTACAACTCTTTCAGTCAGTGGCCTGGCCCCCTGGTCCACTCTTACGCTGAATATCAGTGTCTTGAGTATGTCATTCATCCACTGCACAGTGAGCGTCTGTGAGACAAACCCCAGCATTTGGTTACTATAGCTCTGTAGTATAATTTCAAGTCAGTGTGATTTCTTCAGTTTTTTTTTTTTTTCTTAGGATAGGCTTAGCTATTCTGGGTCTTTTGTTGGTCTATATAAATTTTAGGATTCTTTGTTTTTTTTTCTATTTCTGTGAAGGATTTCTTGGTATTTTGATAGGGATTGCATTGAATCTGTAGATTGCTTTGGGTAGTATGGACATTTTAACAATACTCATTCTTTGAATCCATGAACATGGAATATCTTTCCCTTTTTTGTATTCTCTTCAATTTCTTGCATCAATATTTTATGGTTTTCATTGTAGAGATCTTCCATTTCTTTGGTTAATTCCTAGGTATTTTATCTGTAGCTATTGTGAATGAGATTACTTTTTCAATTTCATTTTTAGATTATTTGCTGTTGCATATAAAAATGCTAATGACTTTTGTATGTTGATTTTGTAACCTGCAACATTACTGAATTTGTTTATTAGTTCTAATAGTTTTTTGCTGGAGTCTAGTTTTTACAAACATAAGATCATATTATCTGCAAACAAGGATAATTTCATTCCTTCCTTTCCAGTTTGCATGTCCTTTCTTTCTCTCATCTGATTGTTCAGTCATATCCTCTTTCCAAGGACTGTCTGCATCCAATTAGTGATTGATGTGGGGGTAATACAAATGTGTTTCCCAGACCCCCATCAAGTGGGTACAACTCTAAGGGACATTGCAATTACAGAGCTCCCTGTAGAGGACGGTGGGCCTCTGTTGTGAAATGACAGGCCAACTTCTCCCTCTGCCCATTCCTGCTTTTGTCCTTTCCCAGTTGTACGTGTTGCTTCCAAGAATATTACCTAATAAACTTCCTGCACACTAATCTCTGTCCCAGAGTTGGCCTCCTAGGAAACCCAACCTGTGGCAATATCTTACCTCCATCTTACAATTTTTTAGGAAGAAATGAATGAAATAGGACAACTCTTGGGACACCTTAATTGAAAGCACATACTCTGAGCTCTTACCATGACATTTTCTGCTATGACTTTTTTTTTTTTTTTTTGAGAAAGAGTCTCACTCCGGTGGTGTGATCCTAGTTCACTGAAACCTCCCCCATCTGGGTTCAAGTGATTCTCATGCCTCAGCCTGCAGAGTAGCTGGGACTACAGGCCTGCACTACCACACCTGGCTAATTTTTATATTTTTAGTAGAGATAAGTTTTCACCATTTTGGCCAGGCTGGTCTTGAACTCCTGGCCTCAAAAGATCTGCCCACTTCAGCCTCCCAAAATGCTGAGATTACATGCATGAGCTATGACACCTGGCCTTCCACTACTGCTTTTATTGAGGCCTTCTGTCCTCTGAGCCTCTCTATATGTGAGTGTTGTAGAGCACTACTGGCTTCTTTACATTATGCTCCCTTCTTTTTTTTTTTTTTGTGCTCTGCAGTAACTTAAGATTTGCTCCCACAGAGTATTTTCCCTTTGGTTAGGGTCAACTTCATGAATGTTAATCCTGTGTAGCTACCCAGGGCCCAGCACTTGGAAGGGTCCCAGGCTTGATTTAATGCTCTATTCTTGCAATCTTGAGATTCCTTTTCCCTTTTTTTGAGATTGAGTCTGAAATCTTGCTTTCTGTCGCCCAGGCTGGAGTGTAGTGGCATGATCACAGCTCACTGCAGCCTCAGCCTTCTGGGCTACAGTGATCCTCACATCTCAGCCTCCTTAGTAGCTGGGACTACAGGCATGCACCACCACGTCTGGCTAATTTTTTAATTTTTTTATAGAGACCGGGTCTCACTACCTTGTCCAGACTGGTCTCAAACTCCTGGGCTCAGACGATACACCCATTTTGGCTACCAAAGTGCTGGGATTATGGGCATGCGCAACTACACCAGACCTTTATTAAATTCTAAATTTAAAAAAAAATGGCTCTACATTTTCATTTTGCACCAAGCTCTGGGAATACATATATATATATATGTGGGTATATATGTACATACATGTGTGTGTATATATATATATATATATATATATATATATATATGCAATTGGTCTTACTTTTGGCTCCCTGCTTCCTAAGACATGAGATTGAGCTCCTGGTCCTGGATAGAACCTACCCTTGGTGTGTTACCAAAGGCTCAGTGACTTCACTGGTTAGATCTCTGTTGCCCCCACATTTGCTTCACTTGTTCAGATGAACACGCTCTCCTTCTGGTTTCACTCACTTTCCTCATTTTTCCATCTCCTGACAAAGTCTCTCTGGGAAGATAATCAACCACCATTGTCCCCAAGCCCTCTACATCCACCCTAGTGTCTGTTACAGAAATGTACATAGGTCATAGATTCTCAATTCTTATCACTGGTAGACTGATTTATTAGGCTTCTCTACATGGTCATTTGTAAATCCTGTGCTGTTTGAAGTGGTCATTCTATTCACTCCTTCACACTTGCTCCTCAGTTATATTCATTTGGCTGGTACATAATTTAGTTCTCTACCCTATATGTGACATATGCTCAGTTATCATCTCTAGTGTTCATTCATCCACTAAGTTAGAGTTTCTGGACTATGTCCCTTTTTTGGGGGGGGGGTCCCACTGTCACCCAGGCTGCAGTGCAGTGGTACAATCTTGGCTCACTGCAACCTCTGCCTCCCAGAGAATCAAGTGATTCTCAGGCCTCAGCCTCCTCAGTTAACTGGGATTACAGGTGCATGCCACCACACATGACTAATTTTTGTATTTTTAGTAGAGACGGGGTTTCGCCATGTTGGCCAGGCTGGTCTCAAACTCCTGACCTCAAGGGTTCTGCCCGCCTCAGCCTCCCAAAGTGCTAAGATTACAGGTGTGAGCCACTGCACCGGGCCCGTTGATTCTTTTACATCACATACACAATGTTGTAGTCTGGATGCCAAATAAACACAGCTGGATTTAAAAAATTGCTTAATGCATGTACTTTATTAACACTGAGATAATGTGATTTTATTCTGCTCACAGTTACTCTAATACATACATTTAAAACAAAGGTCAAAGCAGCAATTACATTAACTCGCTATAGGAGTCATTAGACACTCAGGTAGTACTTTGGTAAATTATAAAACAAATGTATGCAAGAGCACTTCAGTAGAAATTAAATCACTTTGGGGACACATCAGGCTGCTAAACTCCATACTAGAATCCAACAGCAGATGAGTCATTCTTGGAGGTGGAAGAACTCCATAATTTCACAGCCTTGAACACTAAGTATGACCACGAGTGGACCATTTCAACCATCTAACAACCAACGGGAGAGTCAATTGGTCTCATCCCAAATGCCAAAAGCGACAGGCAGGCCATCACAACCTTGGCTTGCTCACCTTGTCAAGACATGACTTTATTTCTGCTTAAGTCATCTATACAAGTGAATCTAATAAATACAATAAAATGTAACCCAACCAAAATCGCATGTCACTTTTTTTTTTTTTTTGAGACGGAGTTTCGCTCTTGTTACCCAGGCTGGAGTGCAATGGAGCGATCTGGGCTCACTGCAACCTCCACCTCCTGGGTTCAGGCAATTCTCCTGCCTCAGCCTCCTGAGTAGCTGGGATTACAGGCACGCACCACCATGCCCAGCTAATTTTTTGTGTTTTTAGTAGAGACGGGGTTTCACCATGTTGACCAGGATGGTCTCGATCTCTTGACCTCGTGATTCACCCGCCTCGGCCTCCCAAAGTGCTGGGATTACAGGCGTGAGCCACCACGCCCGGCCTGCATGTCACTTTTTATAGATATGGGTATATGAGAATCATGGAGGTGCTCAAGAAAGATAGAAACATTTTCTTATTATCATACCACCATGAAATTAAATTTATGTCCATTCTTAGGAAAGAAAATAAGTGTCTTGTTTGATATTGATGAGTAGGCCTACTTAGTCTCTACCAAAATCCTAAAAGAAAAAAATCAAATTTCACTTAAAAAAATAATTTCCATCTTTTAGATTATGTGCTAATAATTCTTAGAAGTAATTATTTTTTAAGTGTGGAAACATGGGGAAAGTTCATGTGATAGAGCACAAAGGACCAAAATGGATCCTTCCACAGTGGACATCCCCCCAGAAAAATGTGTAAGATTTTGAAGCACTTAAGAAATACAAACATCTGTAACAAATGAACAGCTGATGGAGAACAGGACAGTGTTCACTTCTGAATCTATAAGGTACTTAAGAACTCGTACTTGTGGAAAATCACAATGACTCTAGAATATTTCACCAAATAGATGGTGGCAAATAGTTTGGCAACGCGTATTAGAAAGGTGATTTATATACTACATGTGAATGAAAGACAAACCCAAACACAAGTGATGTGTTTTACTACATTAATGTAAATGACGCTACACCTATACCCACAGGGCAAATTCAGTTAGAAGTAAAAAACTAGAGCAGTCCCTTTTTAAACTACTATTTGCATATTTTCCAGTATCCGAATACATGTATACTTATCTCTTATAGATTATATTAATCTACATTTAAAGTTCCATTTTAATTTTGTGGCATGAAAAATACAAACACCAGTATAGTATGTTTTATGCTTAGTCAAAGTTAACTGGCTTAAGGTTTAAAACCTTCCCGGGATAAAGCAGTCAAGTCTGCCCTATATCCCTTTTTGTCAAACCTGTTAATTTCAGTGAGCTGTGATCGCACCACTGCACTCCAGCGTGAACAGCAGAGTCTCTGTCACTATTAAAAAACAAAAACAAAAACAGACAAACTTAGCTATCTACCTCAATCCATCAATCACCCTCATGCCTTTGAACCTGACATCACTCCTAACCTTAAAGTAAAAGAGAGGAATAGTAATGTAAAGCATTCAAAACAAAAATGAAACCTGCATCTTTATTTATTTATTTGAGATGGAGTTTTTGCCCTGTTGTCCAGGCTGGAGTGCAATGATGTGATCTCAGCTCACTGTAACCTCTGCCTTCCAGGTTCAAGCAATTCTCCTGCCTTGGCCTCCCCAGTTGCTGGGATAACAGGCGCCTGTCACCACACCCGGCTAGTTTTTGCATTTTTGGTTGAGAGAGGATTCACCATGTTGGCCATGGTTCGAGACCTCATGTGATCCACCTGCCTTGGCCTGCCAAAGTGCTTGAATTATAGGCTTGAGCCACTGCGCCTGGCCAAATCCTGCATCTTTAGAATGTCATTTTTGTGCATTAGTTTTCCTTTGCCTGTTGGTTTGGAAACTCTCCTTGTCCCTAAAGGTAGCTTCCACATTTCTATTCCAAGAACTGACTAGATAAAGCAAGATGGTTTCCTGCTTTAGCTGCCTCCCTTTGGTTCCTCACCTCTCAGCCAACAAACAGGGCACGATGGTCTTTTCCTGTGATGTTTTTCTTTCTTTCACCTAACTTCTCTTGGAAAAAAAAATTGAAATACTTATTCAGCACTTTTTGTAAAGGACAATTCCTGATTAATAGAGGCAGAAAGCTCAAGATTTATTTTCTTCTGTTCCCCAAAAGGTAAGAAGATGTGAATATTTATATTGGGCTCTCTCCCTACGCATACACCTTTACCTAAAGCTTAAAGAAAAAAAAAGCCAAAAAATCAGTTGAAGGTATATACCACATCAACCTTTCTTCTTTTCTGCCACAAAATTCCATGTCATTCTTAAGATTCAGTATTTTTCTCACATCCTATTACCTTATATGCAAATTGCCATATAGCAATTTTTATTCTATTTCCTCATCTTCTAATAATCACTGGCTATCCACTATAAGGAAATTGCCCCTAGTTTGTCAAGAGTCCTTAAAAATGACATATCAATAATTTAAAACTGGTGAAAGAAGTATGTGAGATTGTTCCCTTTAACTTTGTATTACTCCAAAATATACATATGTACATCCACCCACAAATATAACAAATTTACATAGTTTGCAGAAATAAACTACAGATCTAATTCCAAACACACATTTAGAAATTCACATTTTAACAGCAAACTTACATGCAGATAAAGAGAAATATAGTTTTATACTCCTAAGTGACACAGCAAGCTGAAATGGAGAATATTTTAATGTTCATTTTAGATTTGTTCTTTCTTCCAAGTCCCAGAAAATGAGCAAAAAGGAGACACAAAACTCAAGCTATGTCTATAGCAGTATCAGTCAATGTGGTATTATTTTTACTAACAAATTACTCAATTCCTTACTCTATAAGTGATATACACATACTATAATACTATATACAAAACACAAAATATAGAGTTAGCGATAACAAATGAAAACTTTATACAAAATACTTGATTCCATCAGTATTTAACTTCTGACCAGAAGACTCTTAGCCTGTACATTCTTTTGTGATATTAAGGAATAATCACATTTGTATAGTATTCTTAACTGCAGAAAAATAGGAATGAACAGAGAGGAGGGCTGATGAGACAGTTGAAATACACATTTATAAATATGTATACAATTTAGTAATGTCATATCATCTGAATTAGTATCTTTTTTTTTTTTTGAGATGGAGTTTCACTCTTGTTGCCCAGGGTAGAATGCAATGGTGCAATCTCGGCTCAGTGAAACCTCTGCCTCCTGGGTTTAAGTGATACTTTTGCCTCAGCCTCCCTGGTAGCTGGGATTACAGGTGTCTGCCACCACTCCCAGCTAATTTTTTTTTTTAATTTTTAGTAGAGATAGGGTTTCACCATGATGGTCAGGCTGGTCTTGAACTCCTCACCTCAGGTGACCTACCCACCTTGGCCTCCCAAAGTGCTGGGATTACAGGTATAAGCTACTATGCCTGGCTGAATTACTTTCTTTTGCAGGGTTATTTTCACCAGTAAGTGGTCCAGAATACAAAATATGGTAACAGAAAACTGTTTTCATACTTATTCGTTGGGACAGTTATTTAAAATAAAAACTTGCATTTTAGAATTAGGGAAGCCTGGAAATTTTTTTTTTTTTTTAACTTGGAGATCACATATTGAATAGCTGTCAAAATTCAAACTGACTAGTTCTGAAGAACTTCAAAATGTTTTCAAATGAATAAAGAACAAAAATGAGGCGGGTGGATCACGAGGTTAAGAGATCAAGACCATCCAGGTCAACATGGTGAAACCCCGTCTCTACTAAAAATACAAAAAATTAGCTGGGCACGGTGGCGCGTGCCTGTAATCCCAGCTACTCAGGAGGCTGAGGCAGGAGAATTGCCTGAACCCAGGAGGCGGAGGTTGCGGTGAGCCGAGATCGCGCCATTGCACTCCGGCCTGGGTAACAAGAGCGAAACTCCGTCTCAAAAAAAAAAAAAAAAAAAAAAAAGAACAAAAATGATAAAAAAAAAAACCCATAGCTGCCTAAGAGTCTTAAAAATTATTAATGTAACACTCTCATCTCTCATCAAGTGTATCCAAACCACTTCTTATTTGCTTTCAATTTAAAGACTCACAGTAGCATCACTACACACATTTACATGGAGCACCTACAGTTGAACATAAATATGAGTATTTATGAAGAAAACTAAGTGGTTAAGTTTACACTGACTTGTGCACTGATCTAGTGAATCACAGGGTCACCCAGAGACAGGAGACTTTTCTGATCTCATCAGTTTCTTGACATGTTCAGTGAAAAACTGTTGCACAGAAACTCAAAGTCCCAGCTGGTGATCAGGCCCATCGTCCACTGGAGGCAAAGCTTCTGCTGAATGAGAAGTTAATTTCAGAGTTCTTATATTTTCCCCAGGCACCAAAAGGCACTACTACTGCAGTACTGTTATCTTCAGTACCGTACTGTATTGCCTGCAAGGTTTGGCAAGAAGAAAAAGAAAAACATTGGAAATCACAGGCTGTACAAAGAGAAATCAGCCTTCCCTTCCCTTGGAAATCCCCTTCCCCTGGAAAGCCAAACTGGTCTTACATACAGTTACTAACTTACTTATTTATGATTTGTATTTTTCACCCTGTATTAATGCCCACAAGTTTTATTAAATTGCACATGGAATAACAGATGACCCAAAACAACCATATTAACTATTTCTGCTGTAGCAATTTTGGCAACAGAAATACCAGTGGACTAAGGTGCATTGGTATGCAGCTCCTGAAAATGAAGATACATGTAAACCATTTAGTGTAGGGCTTAACACATGGTAAGGACTTGATAACTGTTAGCTCTTACCAGGAATTCATTTCCCTTTAGGGAAAGTTACCCTAACAGAATAAAAACCTTGGAAATTGAAAGACAAAAAACTAGCCATAATCATAAAAGAAATACAAATGGCTAATAAGCCTATGCAAATAGCTAACTCCACTAACAAAGAAAAAAAGATATAAATGTCTACACTAAAATTTGATTTTTCCACCTATCAAATTGGTAAAAAGAAAAAAATATGCTAAGAATTTGGAGAAACACAAACTGTCAAACATGCTAGTGTAAACTGGTATAGTATTTCTGGTGGAGAATTTGGTAAACTTATTTAAAGCTCTAAAATACTGTGTAGTCTTTTATATAGAAATTTGCATTTATTTATTGAGACAAGGTCTTGCTCTGTCATCCAGGCTGGAGTGCAGTGGCACAATCGCGGCTCACTGCAGCCTCGACAGCCCAGGTTCAGGTGGTCTTCCCACCCCATCCTTCCAAGTAGCTGACAGCACAGGCATATATCACCATGCCCAGCTAAGTAAAAAATATATATATATTTTTGTAGAGACTGGGTCTCGCCATATAGCCCAGGCTGGTCTCAAACTCCTGGGCTCAAGCAATCTTCCCATCTCAGCCTCCAAAAGTGTAGGTGTAAGCCACCACACCTGGCCTAGAAATTTTCTTTTTTTTTTTAATTGAACTTTCTCTTGAGACAGGGTCTCAAAAATAAATGATGTACATTTGATCATATAATCTTATCACATACATAATTATATACACACAGAATGCTCTTCTACACACAGAGAATACTCATATCACTTTGGGGTTATTTTTGTTTGTGTGCTTTCTTGGGGTCTTTTTGAGACAAGGTCTGGCCCCGTCACCTAGGCTGGAGTATGGTGGCTCGATCTCAATTCACTGCAACCTCCACCACCCACCTCAGCCTCCTGAATAGCTGTCTGCAGGCATGCACCAACACACCTGGCTAGCCTTTGTATTTTTTGTACAGATGAGGTTTTGCCAGATTGCGCAGGCTGGTCCCAAACTCCTGAGCTCAAGTGATCCTCTAGCCTTGTCCCCCTAAAGTGTTGGGATTAGAGTGTAAGCCACAGCACTTCACCCATTCTTGTGTATTTCTGTTTGTTTTTTTTTTTTTTTTCCTGAGGGAGTCTCACTCTGTAGAAATTTTATATCTAAGGGCTCAAGCAATCCTCCCACCTCCTCTTCCCTTGTGTAGCTGGGACTACATGTGCATGCCGCTGCACCTGAATACTATTTCTAAGAATTAAAACTATTTCCAGAAGGAAACAGATATGCACAAATAGACATGCGAATATTTATTACAGTGCTTCCTCTATAGTATGAAAAACATGAACATAAACTAAATTTTTTAACCAGGGGAACTGTTAAATGAATTATGTATAAGAATAAGATGGAACACTATGCATTCATTACAAATTTCATTGCCTTTGTGAATTAGAATGCAAATATCTACAAGACAGGCAGTTGAAATTGGGAAAAAAGTGTTCATCCATGGAATTGGGCCCATTTCCTCAATTTCATGAGCACCCTGGTTAGCACGGGTGAAGGCCATAACCAAATGAATAATTCATGTATTATGATGATGTTGCCCAACTATTTCCAAGCAAATAATACTTTTAAAGTAAGGTCTGTTATCTTATTTTGGGAAATGCAAAAATAGCTGTTGAATTAAAACATACTTTAAATAATACAAAGCACAGTTTAAGTTTTCTTTACTGGATATTACCCAGCTTTCTTCTAATTTTAGTTCTGACTGACACACAACCTCATCCCTATGCTTTTTTGTATTTTGGTTTATCTTTTCCACACACCCACTCTGAATAACCAGAAGATGACTATGCTATATCCTCAAGTTGGATATTTGCTTGGAGCAATGGTTTAATGGTCTAGTTTAATGGTCAGGTGGTTGGACTTGGGAACCTGGTTGTCTGGGTTTGAAGTCCAGTTCTGCAATTTAATAGTTTGGTGACCTTCAGTGAGTTACTTAACCGTGTAGCCTCTGTACCTGTTTTTCTCATCTGTGAAAAGGGACAGTAATAGCTCCAACTTAATAGGGTTATTGTGATTACCATATATGTAATTTTATATACTGTACAATACATTTAGTAATGAGTTAATATATACGAATACTGTGACACAGTAAGTGTAAGTGATATATTAGTTTACTACTATTATAATTTATTATTGCTGTTACTATCATTTCAAAGTATATACAAAGCCAAAGAATAAACAAAGCTCATTTCCTTGGCATATTAAAATTTTAACTTGGGGAAATAATAAAAATTTTATACTTGGAAATATTATGGAATCAAGTGTAAAATTCACTGCAACACTCAAAAGCTAAAACACAATGCCTGGGCTGTCCTTTCCTTCTCCTTAGACTCTTCAGGCAGAAGCTCTGGGTCACCTGTTCAGTCACTGCGTGGGCTGCTTCATTGGGATCGTGGCACTGATTGACAAAGTCACAAATCTCTTGACTATTCACCATGAAGTTAATTCCATCTGTGGTGAGGACCAGGAAGCTGTCATCAGCATGATGTAACTGCAATCAGAACCAAATGCCTATGATTATTAGCTAGACTCTGACTTAGAATAATCTTGCTAATTCGAATATTTTTATCTGTTTTGCTAAGTGGTCATCTGTGTAAGAGCTTGTAAGCTGATATGGTTTGGCCCTGTCCCCACCCAAACCTCATCTTAAATTGTAGCTCCCATAATTCCCATGTGTTGTGGGAGGGACCCAATGGGAGGTAACTCAATCATGGTGGTGGGGTCTTTCCCATGTCATTCTTATAACAGTGAAGAAGTCTCATGAGATCTGATGGTTTGTAAAGGGGAGTTCCCCTGCACATGCTCTCTTTGCCTGCAACCATGTAAGACATGACTTTGCTCCTCTTTCACCTTCCACCATGATTGTGAGGCCTCCCCAGCCTTGTGGAACTGTGAGCCCATTAAACCTCCTTGCTTTTAAATTACCCAGTCTCAAGTATATCTTTATCAGCAGTGTGAGAACAGACTAATACATAGGCAAACAGTGAAAATGTAAAGCCTATATGTTGGGCAAAAGTAGTAACATTTAGAATTAACCACCAAGGATAAAGCTAATATTTAATTAGTAAAATATAAATAGCACTTAATAGCAGAAAGTAAAGAGTAAAGAAGTTGCAATCCTCTGAAATCCGATCACCAGAGGTAATCAGTCCTAACCATTTAGCAAACACCCTTCAAGATATCTTGCTTTACTTGCATAATTTAACATTGTAAAGGGAGAATCCAGATAGTCCAATGCTGAGAGGCAGCTTGATGTAACAGTTGTGAGTGCTGTCTTTTAAGGCCAGGCTTCTAGGATTTGAATCTTGCCTCTATTTTTGGGCTGGGTGAGCAGAGGTGCATTGACCTCTGTATGCTTTAGATTTTCCTTGGAAAATGTAAATAGTAGTACTTATTTTGAAAAAAGTCTAGCACATAGTAAACTCTGCCTAAGTATCTGTTAGATAATATGAAGTAGGATATCTATAAGGCACAAAGTTGGATATCTACAGACTTGAAATCCTTCATGCAATTAATTAACAAGTGTTTGCTGCCAGTTTTGGAAGCCTACACTATACTGTACTAGGGACTATAGTGGCTCAGGAGTTTTAGAGAAGTGTCAGTTCATGGACTGGGTGTGTGCTGGGGGCAGTTAAGGGCAATGAGGACACTGATCAGTAGCATGCAAAGGATGCTGCAGAAGTAGAAGTGGGCAATTATTTGGTTTGGTGGAGAAGGGAAGTCAGGGCAGCTTCCATGTGGAGGTGATGTTGATTGATTGGGTGCAGTGATGCTGGCTGACTGGGTGCAGGTGAAGCTGGCTGATTGGGTGCAGGTGATGCTGGCTGATGGGGTGCAGTGCCGCTGGCTGACTGGATGCAGGTGATGCTGGCTGATTACGTACAAGTGATGCTGGATGATTGGGTGCAGGTGAGTAAAAGTAGGACCATTCCACCAGGAGAATTCCATAGCTGGAGTGAAACAAAAACCTAACACTTCTTCATACTGAGGGATACCAAAATATTTCTCTCCCAAATACTGAGGATTGCCAAAGTAACTGAAAAGGCAGGGGAACAACTTCCTGGGCCTCTATTTGCCTGGTGGCTGGAGACAGCACTTGTTTATCAGCCCAGAGAAGAAACCAGCAGGCACTAGAGAAATCTGGGAACAGGTTCTACTATTTCCACACATTTTTCTGCCTTTTAAAAGACTGAAAGTGTTCTCTTCTTTATCTTGTCCCTATGTAGGATTTGTGGCTCTTTGTTTAAATACTATTTAAGCAAAGCCCCTAAACCACTGCCTTGAGAGAGAAATACTTTGAACTGAAGCCTTTCCTGCACAATGGGTACAGCACGCTGAACCGTCTGCTTATTTGTAGTTGTTGTAGTTAATCTGACTTTTGTTTTCAATAAAGTGTCTCAGCTAAGAACCTAAAAAGGGGGAAAGAAATAATTTATGGTTTCTCCTCTACATTAGGCCAGAATAGTAGCATCTTATTTTAACTGAAAAGTTTTTTTTTTCTCCTTCCATATATTACTCCCTTTTAAAAATCATTTTGGCTTCAGTTAAGGCTTCCAAGAAAGCCTGCAGCGGAGGCATTCCTACATTCACTCTCTGCAGGTGCATCAAGTGCTTGCAGGTCCTTTCTTACCTTAATCCTCTTAGTTTCAGGTTCTGCTATGACACCACTGGTTTTAAGATCCAAATCTCCAATACTTCTTGTCATTGCAAGCCTGCCATTTACATGAGGCTGCCCCAAACTATTCCAAGCCACAAAACCACCACATTTCTTGATCCTGTTAAAAGTTAAATCACAATGATGTGATATGCAGAAAACCAAGTCACTGTTAAACTTAAGCATGACATCAGTTTAAAAACTGTTATGAACTAAAAGCATCACCCACACAGAATGATGGATCAGTGATGGTAGTACCTTTCTTTTTCATCTTTTCTTTCTGGAGTATGGTCAATGGTCAGCTTCATGGGTTTTCCTTTTCTACACAAAATAGCCCGGCTGTCCCCAACACTGGCTACAACCAGTTCAATACCATCTCGCAATAGGGCTACTGTTGCAGTAGTCCCAGAGGTCAGAAGAGTTGCTAAAAATATTATGAAAAAAGAGTTCAAGTTAGTGACAGTTAAATGATTGGATATGGAATTTTTATTACAAAATAAAACAGAAGCACAACTAATGGTGGAATATATCATTCTAAATTAACTAGAGCTAGCAAATAAAATGCAAATGAACTATGTAAGTAACAGCATGCAGAGAAACAAGTATTTAATTCAGTAACAAGGCTCCATGCAAACAGGAGAGGTTGCTAACCTAATCTGGCAAACACTGTATCACTATCTACAAATGGCCTCTATTCATATCAAGTAGTGCTGACTTGAACTTATAACACCTTTATGGATATCTGGTGTCTGGACTGAAAGTATTAAAATTTAATTAGGTTGGCTCTGTTGGTGGAATGACTTAGGTCTACTTCAGCCCACACAGGCAAGCTGACTTTTCTACAGTCTATAGATTTAGAAGGTTTTCCCTTCCATTTGTTACTTCTATCCTGAGAACATATTATCAGTTAGTCAGCTAAGTGAGATATGTCAAGGGCATGCCATTTGCATATTCTACCTCTGTATGCTTCTAAAACTGTTTTAATTTTATAAATGTTCACCAAAAACTCCTAAAATGGTTACAGGCTCACATTTTTTTTCTGTTTATCTTTGTCCTTTTCTAGACATGAGACAAAGTTACAATCATCATTATTGAAGCAGAAACTCTGGGGAAGGAGGGGTGGAGAATGAAGTTCATTCTAGTTTCTCATTAACTCGATGTAGTTAGCACTCCAAACTCCAAATGCAGGGCGGAACTGCCAGCTGCAACTCCTGGGATCCTGCTTGGGCCAGAGCATTGCACACATATGAATTTCCTCTAATAACAAATAAAATTCATTGTTACTGGGCTTGAGGTCACCACTGTTTCCTCCAGCCACTCACACTGCACTTTTGCATCTTCCCTTGATTTCTCCTAACAGTGTCTGCCCTAAGTTCTCTACCACTTGTTAAAAATTGTTAGGGTGCATTGAGCCTTGTCAAAAGTGAGAATATTGTGAAATTACGAGCTAAAAAATAAAACATAGTGGAATAAATTGGAAAAGATAACTTATTTAAAGCAGGTATTGTCTTTAGTAACATTGTTAACGCTTTAAAACATTCTAAAATTGACTTTGATTTTAAAGGCAGATTTAGGAAAAACGAAGTGCTACTGATTTGACCTGCTACTGATTTGACCCATTAAGATTCAATCTTTCCAAGGTTTTTTGTTTTTCCCAAAAAGATAATTTTGAAAACTTCATCAGTAATGCACTGGAAGGATATATATATATATGTATATAAATAGATGTTTCCAATTGGTATATTAAAATGCCTGCTTTAATCAGAAAAGTAAAATGGAAAAGCATGAATAAAGTCTACTTAATCTTTTATAGTCATGCTGAACTTTCTTGAGAAATAACATTAATGTTGCACTATCTTCCCATTTTTCTCTTGATTTTGGAACTGTTGTGCCAATGTAATATTTATGCAATGATGAAAGATGTATTTGTCCATCATATAACAAATGTTTTAGCATAAGTATCAGTGATATTTGTATTACAAATGTTAACTCAACTTTAAATTACCCAAATGAATATACAATAGAATTTTTACAGTTTGACTAACTATAATATTTCTTTTTTTTTTGAGACGGAGTTTCGCTCTTGTTACCCAGGCTGGAGTGCAATGGCGCAATCTCGGCTCACCACAACCTCCGCCTCCTGGGTTCAGGCAATTCTCCTGCCTCAGTCTCCTGAGTAGCTGGGATTACAGGCACGGGCCACCAGGCCCAGCTAATTTTTTGTATTTTTAGTAGAGACGGGGGTTTCACCATGTTGACCAGGTTGGTCTTGATCTCTCGACCTCGTGATCCACCCGCCTCGGCCTCCCAAAGTGCTGGGATTACAGGCTTGAGCCACCGCGCCCGGCCTATAATATTTCAAATGATTTAAAGAGCCAGGTAAGGGAACATAGGCATTTATTCAGATGCTACCTGTCCCGGGAATTTAATATTCCTTCCCTTTGTTTAAACCATCAGCAATAGCTTTCTTAAAAATGGTTTATTATTGACCACAGTAAAAGAGTTAAAATTTCGTTAAGTTTAGTTATTTAGGCTTGTAATTCATGGCTCTGTCACCTAGAAATTTTAAAAGAGTTTGAGCTTTCACCAACCCAACTTCACAGTTCCAAAATCCCAGGATTTATAGGAAAGACTTCAAAACTAACTGTCAATTCTGAGTTGCTAAGCATTTAAGAATATAGATATTAAATCAGCATTCATTTTCATTTAACATTTAATATGAAAGTAAAATTCTCATTTTGCCCTAACAACAGAATTAGAAAACTAAGACATCTTTCAATAAGTTCTTAACACTCACTGGACAATTTCTACTGCAAGTCATCTCAACTAATGGGACAAAGAGGATGTGGGGACCTTCCCGTAGTCCAGGCTAGGACCCGCTGGACTCCTTCACCTGGGACAAAATTAAGCAGATCTCTCTTTCCACTGAAGCCCAGCATATAGTGTCCACGGGCTCCAGGTCTAGAGCTGCTGACCAGGCACAGTTCTCTGCCACAAATAACACGCACAGAGGCAAATAGGAAATTTCACCCAGGAATTGTGCTCAAACATTACAAACCTGCAACACATGGGAGAGCAGAGAAAGAGCTGCAAAATAAGGGAAGGGTTTTTTATTTTGGTGAAAATTTCACTAGCAAATTATATAATATTCCAGGAGATGCCAAATCAACGATTCCAAAACTCAATTTGTTCCAGTTGATGGTATTTTATACTTGAGTCTATTTTTTCTTCACAGAGTAACACTTCTTTCTCAATTCTGTGGTTTCTAAGGTTGAAAAAACTACAAATGTGTCTGTACCAAGACACATAAGTGGTGACACAGATACACATTTAACAATCACAAAAACACTCATGCGTATACACATTCACTGAAATAGTTGGTCTTAAACACAATCAATCAGTACCTTTACTGAGTTAGAAAAAAATGCACTGTAAATCTGTTTGGTAGCAATATTAGAATTGGCTCAATAATAGATAAACCTACAGTTACAGCACTGAAGAATTTGTATCTGACAAGCAGGATTTAAACTACAGTATACCACCAACTTACTGGGACTTAAATATGTATCAAGAGGGAATCAAAGCACCTCCTATACAAGATACATGCATTTGTTAATGGTGCTTAATGCAGAGATTTAGTACCTAGAAGGCATTTTTGAGTAGAATGATTAATTTAAATTCACTGTTTAAATAAAGGCTAGTGAGACTCTTGCACTCTAATGCATGTTTATAATTTTATATCATTCACAAAATGGGTATTTCTGCAGCTTTCTGTTTCTCCGGTGTTGCAGGTCGACACATTAAAAGAAAAATGATCAAGATTTTGAATGGCAACATAAAGAGCAAAAGCTATACTTTTCAAAGACTAATGACTCCTACTAATTACTCTGTTGTGTAAATACTATTATGTATAAACCAATACCGTTTCAGTATTTATTAAAAATGGGTATTCTAGACTCAAGACTCATGAACACCAAAATCAAAGTAATAAGCTGAAGCAGTAGCAGCACAATAAGAACATTTCTCTTCAATGCTCTCCCTATTTTTTTTTTTTTTTGGCTCCCCAGCACAGGGGATTCAAAAATGCTGTTGTTTATAGCCCTAGTTATTTTGTAGTTTAATTCTTCCATAAAGAGGTTACAGGATATAAAGAACATAAAAGTTTCTGATGAGACTCACAATGCCATCAACGTCCCCCACTCTGAAAGTCAGAGCAAGTCTTCTCTTTTTGTTCCATTTGTCCCTTTCGGAGCTTTGTTGCTTTCAAAGTTTAAGCAATCTGGAAACACTCTGAAGAGCTTATAGGAAATATAGAATTATAACCTAAGTCTTCTACCATCTAGTTTGTTCTAAGTGGCTGTTTATAAACAACAGAAGAGTGGTAGGATATCATCTGAATTTACTGGCTGCTTTTATTAATTGTAAAAGTAGACGTTACTGGATAAACTGAATGCAAAAAATTAAAAGATAGTGATGAAATTGCCTACGGAGAACTAAGGACAGATTTAAAATGCATTAACAAAAAAGCAATAAAAATAGCTGGCAATTTCTTAAGGACAAGGGAATCTTGTTCTTGCCATTTCTTGTTAAGTGGCATTTTGATTTTATTCTTTTCAAAATATCCCCAACTACAAGAGTACATTATTTTATTTTATTCTACTCAAATGATAAGCTTTTATTGTATGTTACAGACCATTCATCCAGGACATGCAGCACCTGTGTTTGGCATCATGTCATTTTTGAAAGGACTGAGTGCACATTAGTCTCTTGCCTATGCTGAACTCACACCTGCCTGTCAGAGAAGAGCTCTCACTAAGTGTAACTTGAATGCGAACTTGCTAGGCAATAGCAGTGCCATTCAAGAGTTAATATTCTAAACGTTAATAAGATAACTTGAAATTCTTTATGTAGATGTAAAAGCTTTGGAACTGACATTGAGAAGAGATAAGAATGTTTTATTTTCACTTAATTTATCTTAAGAAAGCTAATATGATATCGATACAGGAACTAGAAAGAAATTATTTAGACAGATAGTGAGGGTAAAGGAGTCCTCAGTAAGGCTTCCCTTTTAACAAAAAGCAGCTCCCAAACCACTTCTTTTCTAACAAAAAGCAGCCCAAAAATTTGAGCTGCAAACAAAAGCGAGCTGGAAGCTTGCACAGGTGACTGCTGACAGCTGTGCCAATAGCAAAGGGCTACCTGGGGCCAGGCATGTTCAATATGCTCCATCTTCCCTTTTCTTTGTCACCACATGTACAGTAAAGGAATGGGCAACAAGGCACTGGCCAGGTAGAGAACATCTGCATAACAAAAGATTAGGGCGGGGGTGGCCAGATTCTTAGCACTCTGCATGGCACCCCTAGCCCTAACTAGTTCTTCATGTGCTATGCGAATGGTACACCTGGTCGGACCAATCTTTCGTGCCCTATGCAAATCAGACACTGCCTCCTCAAGCTCATCTAAAAAGCCTCCTATACTTCACCGAGGACTAGAAGTCTGTTTGGGACCCCTCTTTTTGCAGGAAAGAGCTTAAATCTCTGCTCTTAACCTCACTCCTTGTGTGTCCGCGTCCTTGATTTCCTTGGAGTGAGACAATGACCCTCGGATATTATGCCAGATGAACAATGCTGCTTCAGTATCACTGAGGGGCACCTCTCCCACTTATACCTAAAATCTCACCATTAGTGATTCCCCTCTATGGTTTAACTAAGCCTTTTCAGGTGTCTGCTAATTAAAATTCAACTCTACCCAGGAGTGACAATTCATTAAAATGCATACATTTTATTAATAATTTGATTAAATCAGCTATATGATAATCAAAGAATAAATTACAGTAACTTCAGTGAGAAAGAGTAGGCAGTGGAGATCTCAGCTCAATTCAAGTAATTATTGAGTACCTGCCAGGTTCTATGCAGGGTGCTGCACACTGGAGATTCAAAAATGAATAAGCCACAGCCCTACACCTCACAGGAACGGCTCAAGAGGACGGAAAGAGATTAATACTAAAGGAGAGAAGATGAAAGAAACTGGAGAGGGCGAACTGCACTTACTACAAAATTTTCTTTTAGTACTGGCCCTACCTATATTCGTAGGCTGAAAAGAATATTATCCACTCTTACAATACTGATACTGCTTCAGTTCTTGCTAAAAACTAAAGTTTTAAACTTAAATAATAACTTTGAAATATAAAATGACATTCTTAAAAATCCACAAATTGAACAGTTACACAACATATGGCATTCTATTTTTAGTGGCTTTAATATATTTGATAAAATAGGCCCTAAATATCAAAAGGCAAGTTTTGCCATCTTTGAAAGCTTTGGCAACTTATTAAGAATACAATATTTAAATGTTCTCAAAACGTTAATTTTTTAAAAACACAGACTGTTAATAATATATACAAAATAAGACTTAATAACAATATTATAATAGACTTTTTCTTTGGGTACACACTGAGGGCATCATCCCGTCTTGCTCCATTATACTTTCAAACAAATGACCATTATATAAAACATAAATTTTAAAATATCTTAAGAATGTTCTGTGATCATTACCTCAAAGTATATGACAGAGGAATTAAATTAAATAATGCATTTTAATTTCTTTATTAAAAATGAATTAATTTTATTAAGAATAAAAAATATGGAATGCCTCATGCATTTGCCTGCCATTCTCGCCCAAGGACCATGCTGCTTTCTGTATCATTTCAATTTTAGTATCTGCACTGCTGAAGCAAACATATGAATTGCAGTTTTGTGATTAATTTCCTTACACAACTGTTTGTTTTTATGACAAAGTTATCTTTAGAAAGTTTCTTTTAAGATAAGCAAGTTAATTAAATTCTTTAACTTCAAAATTCCGTTGAGTTATACTTTATTCAATAATGAAAGAAGTCCTCTCATATTTTACATCAAGTCAATCACTGATTGGTTTAAACATCTACATTGACTAGATCCTTTTAAAATAAGGCTGACGGCTCCATGAAGGTCGATGTTTTTGATTGGTGGTCACATGCCTGGGATAAATATGGTCATTCTCATCCAAAACCCTTGTCCAGTAAGCTGCAGGTATTTACAGAACAGCTGGGACACACCACCGGCACTACAGTCAATAAACATTGTGGTGTGAGACAAAGCCAGACTCATAGCCAACTTGGTTATTATGAAATAAGAGTATACCAAAATTCAGGAAGTAATAAAAATAAAACCATAAGAAAACATTTTATTTCCTCTTCTCCTTCCTGTGTTTTAACCATTTGGAACAAGAGCTAAATCTTATCCATAAAGTTTACCTCTTTCAACTTCTGTCTTCTTAAAGGTAAGGGTCCAGTTGAAAGGAAAAAAAATCCAAAGGAATGAAAGAAAAGAAAATGAGCCTAAATAATCTACAGACTGGAAAACATATCCCTGAACAGAGTGGATTGTAATGCTTTCCTGAGGAGTGTGATACTAAGGTACTCAACAGAAGCTCAGGAAAAATCTCAAAATGGTAAATAGAGCCAATCCAGAGTTACCTTCTCCTCTCCCGTTGAGAGGGAAGAGAGAATGCTGGCTGTCAGGAAAATCCCAGCCCTAACTCTGTACTGACCTTTACCATTCTAATCTTCAATTCCTTAGCTGTGAAAAGCAAAAAATCCCTATCCTTATGTACTCTAACTGAAAACCATGCAAATGACATTTCTGTGGTGCCGTGTTTTTTTTCCCTTAAGAAAAAGATGAACCAAATACAGATCAAGATTATTGCATGACTCATTTTCAAATCATTTACAAGGTTACATGCATACATTCATTTGGCTGGTATAGAAGTTTTCAGGGTTAACTTTAACAGCAAAAGATTAGAGGCTAGCTAACTAGAAAACATTTGCTGTGTTTTCCTGAAATGGTTTTGATAAATTTAGTCAAAACCAGAAACATTTCACTGTCAAAATTTAAGGACATACACTACACAAAATTTTAAATTCAACTAGCATACCCTTATGCTGAAAATATCACTAGTTGCCAGAGGAAAGCTGCAAGATTGAGCTTTTTAAGAGGAGACAGAAAAACATCTTCCTTTTTAATTATACAAATTAGCTATTGTCTTTTTCTATTTAGGATCTATTTGCAATTTTTTTCTTGTTGTACAATGACTGTCTTAGCTAGACGTAATTACCCTGTAGTGTATTTCAGCATTTGGTCACCAGATCCATCTAAAAAAAAACAAAAACAAAAAAACAACAAAACAAAACTCATAGTATGGACATTTTTGTCCATAAAATTAGCAACAGATTAAACATTTTTTAAATCTTTTAAAAACTAAAATACAACATCAGAACTGTTTTGGGGTTTCTCTTTCTAAAAAATTCGCCAATATATTTTATTTAAAAGTGATGTATTTACATTAATTTGGATTCAAAACAGCATTTAATGTAATTCTTCATATAAAATCATTTCTATATTAATCCTTACAAACAAGTTTACATTAAAATCCCCTCCCATAAAGGACTTAAATTGTTTACTTTTAACTCCTCCCCCACCCTACATACTCCCTAACACCCAAGGAATGTGATAGTCTTACATACCATCAGCAGACAGGCGGGTGTGACTTGAAAAGGCTTTATCTATTTCTAGAAAAGCCAAGGTCAACACAGTTTCCAAGTTCTTCTCCTTAGGAAGCAAATCCCTTTGTGGGGAGGAAAAAAAAAAGCATCAAACAATCATTTCACAATAGGTTTCTCTCTTCACTGTTAATGCTAGCTAGCAGTCATTCCACACAATGGGAGTCATAATTTTCCTGTTAAACCGCTGAAGATTTACTGGCTAAGGAACACTTACTGAGCATGCAGTAAGTGTCAGGCACTGTGAAAAGCTTTTAAAGGCATAAAAATGAAAGTCCAGATCCTTGTTGTTGAAGAATTAATCCTCACTACCACAACCCTGAGAGGTTAAGAATTCCTTCCTATTATGAGTTCTTTCGTGGAATGAGGTATACACAGGAAGTGAAGAAAGGGTCAAGTCAAAAATAGTTACATAACTCTATCACATGTTCTCCCTTTTTCAATGTTAGCAGTAATATGACCCTCAAAAATGCATTGATAATAGTTGAAGTAAATAATCTGAAGAGCTCCAGAACATCTGCATTAAATGCATTTTCTCAACACTAATGCCAATCATCCAAAGCTATTTTCAACAAGTCAAGTATTCAAAGCTATTCACACCACTTGAAAGAGTAATTACCATTTACTGAAGCACTTGTACTCCCTACACTGATGGGAGTAAATACTTCTCATAGGTTCTCTCATGCACATTATGCCACTTCACTTGAAATGATCACAAATTAAGTGCTATAGATTTTGGTTAATGCTTTCCCCAGGGGAGTTGTTAAAACTTGCATTTCTGAAATTGTGATACCCATGTAAAACTACTTCTCAGTCATTAACTACTTCTCATTCATGAAGCAGCAGCATGCAACCACTTAAGTAACTACGTTCACTCTGGAAGCCTCAGCCAAAGGGTGAAAGTTTAAGCATGAAGCATAGGGGAACTGCAAAGTCAGGAGTGAAAGTCATTGTACATACCTAATACATTTCTCCATGTGGGTATGACAGAAATCAGCGGCTGCAGGTCCACCGTGTCCATCATATACTGCAAAGTACAGGACCTCATCTGTTAGCTGAGCAAAGTCAAACCGATCTTCATTCTCTTTCCGTTTGCCAATCTGTGAGGCACAGCCCACATTTTCCAAGCTGATTTTGGGAATTGGTTTGCCATACTTAATGCTGGGTGGCAGCAGAATTGGCTCATCAATGCGGTTATCCCAGATCCCAAAATTGTCCCAGGTAGCTGGACGCCCACTACCATCAGGGTCAAACCGAGAACACCTAGGCTCTGAAGTGGAGCTGTTGCACGTGGGTGTCACCTGCCTGTCGTCCTGCAGCAGGCGGGAGCTTAGCAGCACTCTTCTTCTCAACTGGTTCCCTCCACTTCTGACCAAAGTAATTAAGGCAGCTGTTGACATAACTCAGCTCCAAAGGACTCAGTGATGAGGGAAAGGTCAATGGAACAATAACAGAATGTCTTCAAGAAAAATTATGCAAGTCAGGGGGACAGAGGGAGGGGGGAGGGGGGAGAGAGAGAGAAAGAGAGAGAGACCATGATAAATTTTGAATATAACTGGTATGTTATCAAATATTACCAAAAATGAATGTCATAAAGGATTTGACAGAAAATACATATATTTATGTTATATATTGGGTAGACATCCAATAGCCTACTTCTAAGAACAGTGGATCAAAAATGAATTGATTTTCCTACCTCATTCACAGCATTTAAGTTCTATAAAAATTTGACAGTGTGCATATACACAGATCATTGTCTACCAAACTTGAACCTGCATCTCTCAAACTTGAACTTGCAATCATTTGTTAAAATGCAGATTCTGACTCAGTGGCTATGGGGTCGAGCCATTCTGCATTTCTAACCAACACCCTGGTGATACAGAAGCTGCTGGTCTGCAAGTTGCACTTCAAATAGCAAGAACACAGAATACAGGTATAATTAAATATACATCCCTTCATTAACTCTATTGCTTTCAAGAAAAGGTAGGGGTAAATATGAACAATAATATCAAAGTCTCTTCAGGAAAAAAATAACAGGCTAATAGAATACAAAAAATAGTTCTGTTTCCAAAGAACGGCCAAGTTTTCGGGCATGATGGCTCACGCCTGTGATCCCAACACTTTGGGAGGCCAAGATAGGTGTATCATCTGAGCTCAGGAGTTCACGACCAGCCTGGGCAACATGGTGAAACCCTGTCTCTACTAAAAAAAAAAAAAAAATTAGCCAGGTGTGGATGCACGCACCTGTAATCCTAGCTACTCGGGAGGCTGAGGCAAGAGAATTGCTTGAACCCAGGAGGCACAGGTTGCAGTGAACCAAGATCATACCACTGTACTCCAGTCTGGGCAACAGAGCAAGACTTCATCTCAAAAAAAAAAAAAAAAAAAAAAATAGAATGGCCAAGTTTTAGCAAAAACAGTCTAGGGTTGATCTAAGTTTTTATTTTGAGATTTCTCAACCTACTAAACTTTACATACCATATTATTGTGGTAAATATAAATTGGCATGTAAACACCCTAGAGGCACAAAGAAAAGCCAGTTTTGATGATGCTCCCCTTCCTGGTAGACTCTCACTAGGAGGGTGTGTGGGCGTGATCTCAGGAACCCAGCGGCACTGCATTTGTGACAAGCAGCCGTCATTTCCGAACAAGTGATCTATGCATTCACATTCATAACTGCAGCTCTCCATTCCCAACCCTAGCAATCCACTGACACTTGAGACTACACTTCTTTGAAGCTATTACTCTATACCCAACCCCAAAACTCAAACCTCAGTCTTAGCATTACAGGGTGTTACCAGGGGGAATTCCTACCCCACTGTGGGTAGGGCTGTTTCTGGCAATTTTCCATACAAATAAGAAATTTGTCTCCATAGGATTGTGTCATATTACTTCATTAATTTAAAATCAACTTGAAAAGACAGCATAATACTAAGGTTTGATGATGTTGGTGGATGGTCTACTGGCATTATATTATTCTCAATTGTACGTTTGTATGTTTAAATTATTTCACAAAAATAATGAACTTGAGAAAATGTATCTTTCCAAAAGGTATAAACATACACCAATGAAACCCAGCTTGAGTGCAGCTATGAGAAAATGCACTACAGGTTTCAAATAATTACTTTCAAGTGAATTTTTGGAAATCAGTCTAGCTATGCATAGAGAAGGCCTCTTTCAGTGAGTAAAACAGGCAAAAGAAAGAATGAGGTTCCAGAGAACATCCTTAGATGTTTATTTGTTTTTATTTCTTGTAGAGATAGGTTCTCACTTTGTTGCCCAGGCTGATCTCAAACTCCTGGCTTCAAGTGATCCTCCCATCTTAGCCTCCCAAAGTATTGGATTTACAGGAATGTGCACAGAGCCTGGCTTCAATCTTCAGATACTTAAGCAATAAAACATACATGAGCTCTGCCATCACAGAATTTGGAATAAAGATGACCACCAAAACAACTAATGATCATTAAAAACTCAGGAAGTCATCCCTTCTGGGCTTTTGGCCAAGATCCTGTATAGAAGGCTGAAATTCATTTTTTTATAAGACAACATGGGTTAGAGAGTGGCAGAGACACAGCATCTCTGGTTATCCAAAAGAAGTAACATGGCCAGACGCATTGGCTCACGCCTATAACTCCAGCACTTTGAGATGCCAAGGTAGGCAAATCACTTGAGGCCAGGAGTTGGAGACCAGCCAAGGGCAACCTTGTGAAACCCCATCTCCACTAAAAATACAAAAAATAGCCAGGTGTGGTGGTGTGTGCCTGTAGTCCCAGCTACTCAGGGGGCTGAGGTGGGAGGACTGCTTGAGCCCAGGAGTTTGACACCACCCTGGGCAACATGATGAAACCCCATCTCTACAAAAAGTGCAAAAATGAGGTGGGTGGATTGCTTGAGCCTCGGAGGCAGAGGTTGCAGTGAGCCCAAGATCACGCCACTGCACTCTAGCCTGGGCAACGGAGCAAGACACTGTCTATTAAGAAAGAGAGAGAGGGGCCGGGCGCGGTGGCTCAAGCCTGTAATCCCAACACTTTGGGAGGCCGAGGCGGGTGGATCACGAGGTCAAGAGATCAAGACCAACCTGGTCACCATGGTGAAACCCCGTCTCTACTAAAAATACAAAAAATCAGCTGGGCATGGTGGTGCGTGCCTGTAATCCCAGCTACTCAGGAGGCTGAGGCAGGAGAATTGCCTGAACCCAGGAGGCGGAGGTTGCGGTGAGCCGAGATTGTGCCATTGCACTCCAGCCTGGGTAACAAGAGCGAAACTCCGTCTCAAAAAAAAAAGAAAGAGAGAGAGAGAGAGAGAGAAATAATACACTCTATTGCAAGAGATATTTGTTCTTTTGCTTCTAATTGAGAGTTAGATTTTATTCAGCAACAACTATGAATTCAAGCCAGCAATAGTATGTTAAAAAATTTTTTTAACTCAATTATGTTAACTATAGGTGATGAATTGAGATTTCAAACTAGAATATAATATACCAGGTAATAAAAGTACTAATTATTTGGAGATAGTTCCTAAAGCAGCTTTATATCATATAGAAAAAAAAAAGAACTTTAAATAAATATATTTATTAGAAAATATTCATATTTGAAGAGTTAACTTGAGATTACCAAAATACTATTCTTTTGACTTTGGTCTGAAAGTATACATGCTGTATTCAGCCTTAAGCTACTTTGCAGTCATGTACCTACTTTAAACCAGAGTTCTGGAATTACAAATAAATAAATATTAAATAAAGTTTTTCTGCAGCTCTTCTAGTATACTCTTGCTTTTTTTCTCCTCTCTATCCCTCCTTCCAATATTTTTTAAATAATAAAGTAGAACTGCATTCTCACAGAGAACAAATATCCACTGAAAACATTTTTAAGAATGAGATAAAATGCAAATTGGGCAGTTTCTATAAACCTGCATATTTAAAAATCAATCATCAACCTGGCCTCCTTCCTCGGGTATTATGTCTATAATGCTCTCAGAAAGCAGGCAGTCATAGGAAAACACCTACTCTGAGGCATATTATTGGCAGAAATGAAATGTGACCCAGATACATAGCTGGTTTACAAAAACAAAACAAAACAGGTCAGCATCACTTAGGCAAATAAGAGATGTTATGAAGTGGTTCCATGTCCTTTTCCATCTGCAATGTAACTAAGTCATACCAATCCCCTCCATATTCCCTAGGAAAGAATTCAAAGGCAACTGGAGTTCCCAAAGTAAGTAACGACTTTGAATTAAACCTGCACATCAAGAAAAGTTTCCTCCTCCAAAGCTTCAAAATCAGGATCTGTCATCATAGACCCCACAGCTCTGCTGATGCTCATGGGAATGATTATACAAGGCAAGGGAAGTAGAATTTGTGACAAACAAAAACCTTAAGGAAAAAAAAAAGCCATCAGTGTTCTCTACAACAAAAAGAGTGTAGAACAAATTAGAGAACAACTAAGAATTGTCTTTGTCAGTTCTCAATTACAAATTGGGATGTGTTCATTATTCTGCAAACTAAGAGACAGAGGAATCTTCCTTTCTAAGAAAGCAGGGGAGATATAGCTCAATCTTTCAATCGGAAATCACGGCTAGTTTATTTTATAAACCTTATTTAACATTATATTTCATCTTTGGAAGTCAAGTCATCCAAAAGGGAAGCACTGTCTCTGGCAGAAAGGTGCACTGGATTTGAGTTAAACTGTTCTTGAATGTTGAAAGCAGGTCAAAAGGTCAGTTTAAGCACATGCCAAAATTATTCAGGAGTTCTAAAGTTCCGAAACCTGCTTAGATTTTATACCTCTAGAAAAAAATATTTTAAGAAAGCATTCCTATCTGCCCTTTATGAAGTGGCACTTAAGTATCTACAACTTCCATAATGAGAACACGGCCATTTTAAATATTCTTAAACCAAATATTTATCAACCTTTTTAGAAAATCAACTAAAGCATCCCAATAAATTCAAATAGTATGGAAATTTCCAGAATGTATTTCAGCTAATTTGGACCCCAATACCTTCTTTATCAATACCCTGCTAGGAGGAAGGGAAAGAAAATTTACTGCTTTAAGTGAGGGGAAAAAAGAAAACAACAATAAAAACTCCCAAGGAACCCCCTTATGTTTAAAGTGAATATATCTATGTTCAAATATGTGACTGGGTTAAAGTACTGAAACGTGAGCGTGAAAAGTACTCAATATTCTACTCCCATAGATGCCTTTTAACATGTTAGTAAATACGCATACAAGCCACAGACTATATCCCAAACCTGTAACTTTATAATGCCTTTAAAAAGTTTCCTTCACATTCTATTCTATACCACTCTCCCCTCTTCTTTCCTCTTCTCTAAGGATTCCAGTCAAGGAAGTTGCCTGTGTGATCAGTAGTAATGTCTAAGGTGGCAAGAAAAAAATCATTAGCGAGAACTCACTACTCAACGATTATAACTAAGGCATTTTATCAGACAAACACACACTCACAGGTGCTGCTCTTATTCCTGCCACCGCTGCCTAACTAGAGTACCACAAACCATGGCTGTTTTTCTTTTTCTTTTTTTTTAGACGGAGTTTCGCTCTCGTTACCCAGCTGGAGTGCAATGGCCCGATCTCGGCTCACCACAACCTCCGCCTCCTGGGTTCAGGCAATTCTCCTGCCTCAGCCTCCTGAGTAGCTGGGATTACAGGCACGCGTCACCATGCCCAGCTAATTTTTTTGTATTTTTAGTAGAGACGGGGTTTCACCATGTTGACCATGATGGTCTCGATCTGTTGACCTTGTGATCCACCCACCTCGGCCTCCCAAAGTGCTGGGATTACAGGCTTGAGCCATCGTGCCCGGCCCATGGCTGTTTTTCTTTTTTTTTTTTTTTTTGAGACGGAGTTTCGCTCTTGTTACCCAGGCTGGAGTGCAATGGCGCGATCTCGGCTCACCGCAACCTCCGCCTCCTGGGTTCAAGCAATTCTCCTGCCTCAGCCTCCTGAGTAGCCGGGATTACAGGCACGCGCCACCATGTCCAGCTAATTTTTTGCATTTTTAGTAGAGACGGGGTTTCACCAAATTGACCAGGATGGTCTCGATCTCTTGACCTCGTGATCCACCCGCCTCGGCCTCCCAAAGTGCTGGGATTACAGGCTTGAGCCACCGCGCCCGGCGGCTGTTTTTCTTTTTGAGACAGGGTCTCGCTCTGTCGCCTAGGCTGGAGTGCAGTGGTGTGATCTCAGCTCACTGCAGCCTCCACCACCTAGACTTAAGCGATACTCCCACCTCAGCCTCCAGAGCTGAGACCACAGGCACGTGCCACCTGGCCCCGGTAATTTCTGTATTTTGTGTAGAGCTAAGGTTTCACTATGTTGCCCAGGGTGGTCTCGAACTCCTGGGCTCAAGCCCGCTTTAGGATCACAGGAGTGAGCCACCGCGCCCGGCCCCACTGCTCTTTTTCATAGTCATTGTAATCTGTTACTTTAGTAGCTCATTCTGAAACCCAAGGACAACCTCATTCCTCCGCCCTAATGGAAAAAACCGATGAGGCCTTGCTGCACGTTAACAGTGAGAAGCTCAGAAAAGCCAGCAGAGCTTTACAGAGACTGCAAATTTCCCGGTTATTTCCACCTGAAGCCTCTTTGTCACTTCCGATAAATTCTCTCATTTACAGAAAGCGGCTGTTGAAAAAGACATCACCAGCAAAAAGGCCTTAAGACGACAGTGTTCTCCGCGCAAAGTAAAACCCAAGTCTTCGGGTCAAAACCAGTTGGGGCTGTGCATCTTTCCCGATGCCGGACCTCCTGAAAAGCTCACCTGGGGACAGTTCAGGATCCTGGGCTTGGCTAGCTGGTCCTGACAGGCGAGTGGCCAGGGTGACACATGGCGGGACGCACAAACCCCCGCCCGCCCGCGCAGCCTCGCAGATGGCTGGGCTCACTGGGCACCTTCCGCCGCCAGGTCTCCGCCTCCCAACCTCCCTCTGGACGTACCGAGACCGTGGTCGCCACGTTTCTTTCGCCCGGGCGTTGACGTGGCGCCGACCCCGCAGCATCCTCGCGTCCAGGGCCTCCAGTCTCCGCCTGCCCACACACCCTGCCCCGCTCGCGCCGCGCTTGCCTCCAAGCAGCGACCACATTCAAGGCCGAGAACAGTTTGGGCTGGAAACCCGTCGCCCGGGGCGCAGACAGCCAAGCTGCGCCCCCTCCCGCCCCGCCCCGACCAGCTGCTCCTGACCTCCAAAGGGAAGAAAGCTGCGCTGGGAGAACCCAGACACACAGACCGCCAGCCGAGCGCCGACTGGGGGGCGGGGGAACCGAAACCTACGTCTCCCCTTCGCCTTCCCGGGAAGCCCTTCTCCTTTCACTGTCCATTCCGAGGCCGCCCATAAAGAACATAATGCACGGTTAGCAGTAATAAATGAATTGCACTCTCTAGGCTCTTACCTTAGGATGGCTACGTCCCTGAAAAGTGTTTTGATTAGCTAATGTTGGGGGGGCTTTCTTGGTGGGTAAATACGAGTGCCTTCTCCGTCGTCTCGGATCTCTGGAGCAAGCAGTCAACGCGGCCACTGCCCCGCCTGCTGGAAATTCTCGAAAATTTCTCTCCCGCAGTTGACCAGATGGAGAGAGAGAGAAATCTGTTCCCACTGACTGACGGCAAATCCAGCCAGTGCGGCGCTCGACGAGACGGCTGGCCGGCCGCCCGGGCCCTCTATCGCAGCCAATCACAGGCGCCAACAGGAACGAGCCTCTCTGCCGCTGCTACTTGGCTTCGCAGGCTTCCAGCATCGCTCAGCGGAGCGACGTCGCCCTGGGCCAGTGGAGGCTCGCGGCGGCGCCCCACCCGCCCGAGGTTGGCGCCGCAGCCAAAAAGGGGGCGCGCTTGGGCTGTGGGTGGGGCTGCGAGACTTGGTACCTCGCCAGCAGGCGGAGCGGGGAGGCGGTTTCGCTTGCGGCAAAGGGACAAGTGGTTGTGACAGCCAGGAAACCGAGAACGATGCCAACACTACCTGGCTTAGAGCTTGAAAGGCGTCTGATTTCACTGCCATCTCTTTGAAAAGCAGTGCACAGTGCAACGTTCTTGGCTGAACAGGTATCTGTGATCCTTCGGGAATGTTTATTCATTCATACAAGTATTTCTGTGTTTATTGAAGGACGTCTTGTATGTCAGGCATTTGCTAGACAATGGGGATACACCCCTAACACAGACAGACATGATAGCTGCCCTCACAGAATTTGCAGTCTAACAAAGAGGGAGAAAACCAACAAGTAAATAAGCACATACGATAGTAACTAATTGTGTCAAGAAAAGAAATAGACATGGTGTGGTCACTGGGGAATGACTTCAGATACGGCTGTTATATGAGAACCTTGTAAGATGGCATTTAAGCTGAATAAATGCCAATAAAATGATGAATTGTTCTGGCAGAGGGGACAACAGACAAAGATCTCTAGGTGGGACAGCCTGGCGTTTTGGAAGAACAAAGAAAGTCAAAGTGGCTCTAGCGTATTGAGGGAGGAGAGGCAGACAGGGCCTGGTGGTGGCATTACATTTTAAATTTAATGGGGTTCTGTTGAGGCATTCGTAAAAAAAAAAAGACGTGAAAGGATCTGGGTTTAGACTTTACATCACTTTGGTTGATGTGCAGAGAACAGTTAATATAAGCTATTGGGAAACTAATTAGGCGATGATGACATGAAATTTAAGGTGGAAGATGACTTGGATTAAACTATGGCAATATAACTGAAAGGAGGGAAAAGTAGAGAGTTTAAAGATAAATAATTAACTTGATTTGACATTTTAGTTATTCTAGACCAGGGACAACTATTCTGAATCCAGTGCATTTAATAAGCTGGTTAGAGAGGACTCTCACATTGATGGCTCACAAATTATAGTAATAACCTTGAGTAATATTATGTTGAGTTGATGTCATTTATAGACTTCCCGGATTGTTTCCTTTTATTTATTTATTTATTTATTTTTGAGATAGGATTTTACTCCTGCCCAGGCTGGAGTGCAGTGGCACTATCTCATCTCCATGAAAGCTCCACTTCTCAGGCTCAAGTGATCCTCCCACCTCAGCCTCCCAAGTAGCTGGGACTACAGGCATGCACAACCATGCACAACTAATGTTTATATTTTTTGTAGAGACAGGGTTTCCCCATGTTGTCCAGGCTGGTCTTGAACTCCTGAACTCAAGCAATCTGCCCACCTCAGCCTCCCAAAGTGCTGGGATTACAGGAATGAGCCACTGTACCTGGCCTGAAATTTTTAAAAAATGTATTGAAATATACATCTTAAAAAGTGCACATATCCTAACTGTAGACAGTTCAATGAATTTTCAGTCTGAAGACACCTTTGTATCCAGCACACATATCAAGGAATAAAACATTATTAACACCTGGGAACCCCATCAACCTGCCTTTCAGTCACTGCCTCCTTCCTAGGGGAGTTTCTACACTGACTTTCAACAGCATAGGTAGTTTTCCCTGTCTTTATACTTGATATATATAAAGCCATCAAATATGTGTTCTTTTATTTTTGGCTACTTGGACTCAGCATTATACTTGTGAGATTCTTCCATATTGTTATATGCAGCTGTAGATCATTCATCTTTTTTTTATTCTGTGGATACACTGTAATTTATGAATTCATTCTTCTGATGGACATAAGGGTAATTTGTCATTTAGAGCCGTTATAGATAGTGCTACTATGAGCATTCCAGTACATATCTCTTGGTGATGGCCTTTTCATTTGATGGAGTATTTTGGTAGCTAAGTTACAATTAAGTTTTAAAGAACCTGCTCATCAATAATGTATCATGTGCTGCAATATCTCAAGCATTTGGATCAAAATTTGGTGTAGGTAACGAAGGACTTTGCTTTCACAAATGTGAACATATTTGGCAATAAATAAGAAGAAAGATGTGGGAAATTTTAAGCTTGGAAGTGTAAAGTATTTTGAATTGTCCTGGAGTTTTGACCTTTTTTATAAGCATTTGCATGCCCAGCATCTGAGAACATCATGACTTTGCCAAATCCTTGTACCAAAATGGACTGGAATCTACAGTCATATGATAAGCAAAGCCAGTTAGGCTGTTCTGAAGAATATCTTTGATACTAAAACAGTTCTTGAAATTGCCTTTGAAAATCACACCATTTCACACTCTACCACAGCTCATTAAAATTAAAGCCAGGAGTTCATGTCTTTTGAATTATATGCTTTGGGGTTTTGAATCTCTGAGGCATAGCTAAATATACAAAAAGAATTCATGGCCAGTACAGTGGCTCATGCCTATAATCCCAGCACTTTGGGAGGCCGAGGCTGTGGATCACTTGAGCCCAGAGTTCAAGACCAGCCTGGGCAACATGTCAAAACCTCATCTCTACAAAAAATACAAAAATGAGCCCGGCATGGTGGTGTGTACCTGTGATCCCAGCTACTTGGGAGACTGAGGTGAGACGATCACCTGAGCCTGGGAGGTCCAGGCTGCAATGAGCCATGATCTCACCACTGCATACCAGCCTGGGTGACAACAAAAAACAATTCACAATTATCTGTACACCAAACCCCCATGACACACAGTTTATCTATATAATAAAACTGTTCATGTACCTCAAAACCTAAAATAAAAGCCTTTAGAAATGTGAATAATGTGTAAAGGAAATCATTATTTGATATTTGACCAAACAATTTAAAAATGAAAAAGAATTCACCACAGAGGCTGACTTGGCATGACAGATCACTGTCCAATGTACAAAATAATCAAGGGGATAGAGTACTCCATACATTCATTAAGTTGAGCTACTTTTTATTTACTTATTTTTTTTTTTTTAGAGACAGGATTTCCCTGCGTTGCCCCAGCCTGGAGTGCAAGGATTATTCACAAGTGTGATAATAGTGCACTATACCTTTGAACTCCTGGGCTCAAGTGATTCTCCCACCTCAGTGAAATAGCTAGGTCTACAGGCATGCACCACTGTGCCTAGCTCAGTTTATATTTTAAAGAATTGTACCATCTGCTGAAAACCACTGGCTATCAGAAAATTATTCCCAAAACAATTCATAGGGCTTTTGATGGGTGGGTGGTATATATAATTGCATAATTATTAATATTCACTAATGAATCATTTGTTGTTAAAAATTAGATATGGATATTTTTGTATACTCAGAATCAGCAATTTTCTAGAAAGGTATCTATATGCTACTTTTGGCCTCATGCCTAAACCATGGGCCTGGGATACTAGGATGTATTTTTCCAAAGTTCAGACTGTTCCATCCTGAATTGATAGCCCAGATGTCCCTTCTCTGTGGTACCAGGATAATTGCCAAAACACTGACAGAGAGAATTTTTAGGCCTGTCTCAGTGGCTCATCCCTATAATTCCACCACTTTTGGAGGCCAAGGCAGGAAGACAGCTTGAGGCCAGGAATTCGAGACCAGCCTGGACAACATAGTGAGCCTCCTGTTCTACAAAAAAAAAAAAAAAAAAAAAAAAAAAGATTAGCCAGACATGGTAGTGCATGCCTGTAATCCCAACTACCTGAGAGGCTGAGGTGGGAGGATTACTTGACCCCAGGAGTTTGGGGTTGCAGTGATCTGTGACCATGTCACTGCACTCCAGTCTGAGCAACAAAGCAAGATCTTGTCTCAAAAAAAGAAAGAGAGACGGAGAATTTGCAATCTTGTCCTTGGATGCAATTAAACTTGCAGCAGTGATTTTAATTTAAAATATGATTGTTCCTTCCCCCACCCTGTGTAATTAACCCCCACAAATTTGGAATAAATAAGTTTTAGGCTGGGCACAGTGACTCAAGTCTGTAATCTCAGCACTTTGGGAGGCCAAAATGAGCAGATCACCTGAGGTCAGGAGTTCAAGACCAGTCTGGCCAATATGGCAAAATGTCATCTCAACTAAAAATACAAAAATTAGCTGGGCGTGGTGGCATGCACCTGTAATCCCAGCTACTCAGGAGGTTGAGGCATGATAATTGTTTGAACCTGGGAGGCAGAGGTTGCAGTGAGCCAAGATTACACCACTGCACTTCAGCCTTGGCAAAAGAGCAAGACTCCATCTCAAAAAAAAGAAAAAAAAAGCTTCAACCAGTACCAGTGCTACAGAGATTTGAAAAGTCTTTCCATTTCCACCTCTATTTGACTATTATTTATTATACTTGATCTTATTCACGTCTTTAATTGCATGTTTCCCATTAGAGCTGTTGTGAGAACAATCACATTTTGTAAATGTATTTTGTAAGAAAGGTATACAAAATTGTGTTTTGTTATTTAAATCACAAAAGCTCAAAATCAAGGAAGTAAAATATGATAGTCATTATTAGCATTGTTTGCCAGATCTTTACTGCTCTTCATCACCCAAGCCAGTAGTTCCAGGGGAGGGCAGGCAGCTGTGACTTGTCTTGGTCAATGAATTGTGAGTGGAGGTGATGGGGTAATTTTTGAGATTGAGCATTTCATGTCCCTATGCAAGACCCTCCAAGGCTCACTTGCCTCTGCCATTGCAACCAACAATGTTCCAGAGAATAGCTGCTCCCTGAATGACTCCAAAGAAGAGAATTCCACTGCCAACCTATGATAGTCATGGAACGTGAGCAAGAAATAAATCTTTGATGTTGTATGCTACTGAATTTTAACCCAACTTCACCTATCCTATCTCAACTGATACAACTATTAGCCGTAACTTAAAATTGTTTTTTTGAATTGTTTTTGGGATAATTTTAGCCTAAGGGAAATTTTCATACATTCATTCAATAAATATTCATGAAGATCATACTATATCAGGAACTATGTTAGGCTATGGATTTATGGCAATAAATAAACAATATAAACATGGTCTCTCCTTTCATGAAAACTGGAAGGAAAATTGGAAGGTAGGCAAGTACCTATAACGAATGCTACAAGTGGGAAAGTATAGTGTTATTCAGTGGCTGAATACTATACAAATCTACCAAGAAACAATAGAGAAAGAGAAAACAAGTTTCTAATTCAAGAAGTATCTTGAAAACATAGAAAACATTCCTCATATTTGAATCTGACGCCCTTCAGTGCTGACACTGCTTTTGACCAATATGGGT